TGCAGACACTGCAGCGTCCCTCTGCAGCTCGCCTTGCCTTACAGAAGGGACTATCCACCCCTCCACCCCCTGATCCTGCCGGGTTCCAGCGTTCCAGCGGGTATCCCACACCTCACCAGCCCCTGCTCCTCTGGGCACCACAGACACAGGACAATTGTAACAACGCCTCCAAGCTCCTGTCAGGTGGTGTTTTTCCCATCTATGTGGAAACACGTGTGAAAGCACTTCATTTCATGCCTTTTGGCTGGGTAAGCCAGGGGGAGGAAATAATTCCATGCTTAGAAACTTTGCTGTTTGTTGCTGGTTATGGCGCTCGCGCTGAGCTGAGATCTTGGTAAGAGACATCTCCAGGCAAACAGGACTTTACCTCAAGACAGGCAAAAGATTGAAAACTGTTTGATTGTAACACCAGTAGCATTTTTCTTTCTGATTTTGCATCCCCAGGTGTTTCAACAGAACTCTTTTCATGGTGAGGTACTTTGTTATCTGATTTTATTTGCCCAATACATTCAGTGTGATCAGCGATTACAAGGAAACACAAACTGTGCGAATATTTTGGTTTTATGCCCTGAATTTTTGTAAGGATGTTAAATGGTAACATAAGGGTATTAATGGAATGAGAACTGCAACATTTCTTTGCCTTGAAATTCCATGCTGTGGTTCCCACAGCAACCATAACCATGGCCACTCTGCATGGATTTTACATCCAAGTTGGAATACTTGGTTCCAAGTGCTCAACACAGGTAAGCAAAAGCCAAGCAAAAGCATTTTTCTCCCCTGCAATAAACTTCTTACCTGCCAAGTCACAACTACTACGAGGTGTCAATGGCACTTGTAGGTGAAGGTGAACTCCCCAACAACTGACAATTAATGCCTGAACTTGCCTTCTATGCACAGATACTTACAGTCTTGGTATTGACACCCTTCTGTTTTCAGTTATTGCTGGAACAAGAGCCCACTGTTTGTACCAAAGGTTAAAACATTCTTAGAAGGCTAATAGTTAAGGGTCTTTCAAACTGTCTTGCTTCAAATACCGAACTGTTTCAACGTCAGAAGCACTGAGTGGTGAAGACACTGTTCCTCCATGGTTTTCCTCATTTTATCCAGCCCCTCTGCTTGGAGGCAGTACCTGGTAGTGCACTAAGAAGAGAAAGGCAGAAACAGGAGCATGAAGACCATGAACTTCTCTGAGTAAGTGTACTGGTTTGCCTTTTTCTGCTCTTAATTTTGCCAGAAGTAAGGAGCACACACACAAAGAGCAATTACTCTATCCACCTTTTTCTTCGTTTTCTCTAAGCATTTACTGCTGTTGTAATGTAGGACACTGATTAACTTCTAAAAATTCTTATTAATTGCACTAGGTTGAGCTTTATCCAAAGCTCACGCCCCTTCCTGCTGGATAACAGTTTATTCTCTGAAGTGATGGAGTAATGGTCAGTGATGAAATCAGTGAAACAACTCACTGCTACTGGAGGGACAAACTCCAGTCAAAGGTGGAATTTTCACAACCACACTTGATCAGATTGTCAGATCAGGGTTTAACTGGCAGCACCAGTGATCTGTAATAACATGAGCCCATCTTTACTGGAAAGCTCCAGGGCTTTTCTAAGAAAAGCTACAGAAATGAGGTTGTATGGACAGTTGCAAGTCTACACGTTTAATATTAAATGTTAATTTACAGAGGTATCAGCTTTCCAAAACCGCATTTATTCTCAAAGATTTGCAATTTAAATTAGAAAACAAAATTCACATTAGTATGACACCCCCCCCATAGCAGAAATACCATCTACTACGAGATTCTCTAAATATTTAACTCTTTAGGTTACTAAGAAAAGCCGTGGTCTTGGATAGCTGATAACGGACTGTACAGCAAGAAACACCCAACCAGGCCATCCCTGAAACACAGAGTGACACCAGTTCACAGAGGCCTCTGCCCATACCCAGGGTGGTACCCGAGCCCTTCAGGCACAGAGACCACCCCGACCAAGCAGGTTTTAACTCAAAGCAGCCATGTACAAACTGCTGCTCCAGACCAGGGCTTGCAGGGAAAATGGCTCTGGGTTGGCTGCAGTCCTAATTAAATTGCAATCCACAACATGGTCTATGACACAGCAGCTGTGGGAAATACTGATTAAAAGCCTCTACACGTTATCCCAACGAGCCCATGTACAGCTCAGCTTTTAACTGAACTGGAGAGATCTCCATTTAAATTCCAGATCTGCTACGATCTTTCCATATGACTAGAAGGACTCCTGAACCTCTCATTTCATTTCTGCAACATATATATGGATACTAATTTCAGATATTTAAAAAAAAATCTAATTTACCTTGACATGATAATGCTGTAATGAAAAAAATTAGGATACAGTATCTCACTATATGTTATCTTGAAACCTCACTGTAATACAAGAAAAAGGTTAACCGTGCCCAAATTTGTACTAAAAATCTTTGAACTCACAAAGATTGGACCAGATGCTGTATCTTGAATAGAAGTAGTGTGCAAAACACTTAGACCAGCAGGACTAGCTGTTCCTCTAGCCTACCTCTCTCTACTTCTTAACATGGTCAAGGACCTGTGTTTGAAGAGGTCAAACAGACTGAAGTCTTTTAGAAATCCTAAGTACAGGGAAGGTTTGCATGAGAAAAAGGGTATCTCGACTTGCTTGTTCGTGCTCAGTGTTCAGGTATTTATTTTATGTATGTATCTTTAAACACTTCTATTTAATGCAGTAAACTCCTGCAACCTGAACTGTATGACATTTTTCTCTGCCAGACCCAGCAATCAAGAGACACTCTCAGAGCTGGATGACATGGGTTTCAGCAATGGAAACCTTTAGTCAGGAACCCATTACAAAGACCCCCCAACAGCACCTGGACCACACATTCCAGGGCACCAGTCATGTCATTACATAAAAACACTTCTTGGTTGCTCTTCACGTGTCCCAAAACATCCAGGTCTCCTGCTACCTCCCCACCACACAATGACCTCTGATTATTTTTAAAACTTGCCTCTTAAGGAGAAAAAAGCCAGCTGTGGTTCTGCAGTCCTATCAGTAGCAGTGCCTGCAAACCTACACAGATTTCCAGGGAATATGAACAGGTAAAAGGCCTGTGTTTGGGAAGCAGCTTGTCTTTGGTTTGGAGAGCTGAAGAAAGCACTTTTCCTTCCCAGGCAACTTCCAGAGGCTTGAACACCAAATATGCAGTGTGCTAAAGAAACAAGGGTATATGCTTGCAACTCAGTAGTTTTACAAGGCATTTGGGAAGGAAGCTGTTAAAAATCTGTTTCTAATTATAATCAGTGATTTTTTTTAATACATCAAATAAAGATTTACCCTGAAAGAACCTTTTGAGAACACTTCAAGAAAAAAAAAACCCCAAAGTACAAACTTTAAATATCCAAAGAATGATAGTGGTGCACTTTTTTTAGAAACACTTACATACTTAACAGGTGAAGTAGGAAGAGAGTATTTCAGAAAACATTTAATATGAAACCTTTTGGAACTTCCATCGAATACAGATTTACATCATTTATCAGAACACTTTTTCAGTTCAGACAACAAAGTGCACTGCCGGGTGAAAAAAATACATTTGGAGGAGTGCTTAAAATGTAGGAAGTGAAAGGATAGGTGACCATTCACCTGAGAAAGTACAATGACTGCCCTGAAATGTCTTATTGCTATTACAAAATGGAGTTTTCATGGAAAAAACCATACTGAGCAGCACAGGCACGGGCAGAGCACTGAAAGCCAACTGAACTCCGGTAGCACCTGGAGTTCTCAAGCCATGGCATGATACAGAATATACAGAGAATAAAATGTAAATTCAGGAATATTTACTACATTTAACAACTATGATTACCCTTTAAACTAGCATAATCAATATCAATGCTTAGGGGGAAAGAGAGGGGAAGTCTGCTGCCTTCACAGACTACAGATCACAAGAACTAACTTGCAAAATATTAAGGACTTTGCATTTTCACCTGGGGTCAAATCTGAACTGTGTACTATGAGTAACTATTAGCTCACTGCAAATTTAAAATGCAAATTTAGGCTCCAGTTTAAAGCACATGTTAAGTACATGCTTAAGTGCTTCACTGAAATATAACCACAAAACATTAATACAAAAAGTCAAGTAGATAATGCAGGATATTATCTACACAAGTCCTCGATGAAATAAACTGAGTATCAGTAGGAATCAGTGCATGAAGAAATCTCTTCATTCTAGTCAGCAAACTCAGATCCGGCTCACTGCAGAGATGGTTAAATAGTGGGGACTATCCCAGAGCAGCTTCACGTCCTACCGAAAGCTAGTTGGCCATCAGAGGGTTCATCAAGGGCGGGTCTCCACACTGCACGTTAACAGAGGACAGAGGATTCTCTCGGCAGCAGGAGCCAGAGACACAACTGGCACAGAGCCATCAAAAGCAATACAACCGGAGCCAAGGGGAAGCACGCTGGAAGGGAGCTGCAAGGAGAAGTTTTAACTGCTACTGCCTATGGCTGTAGTTCAGCAAGTTGGGACATTACAACACAGGAGATCAGTAACCAATTTGATTCCCACTTTTGGGTTTCAATGCTGTGTGTGCCCAGGACGAAGGGACAGCACTGCCCTACCTGCAGCGAGACCTCAGAGCGGCACCGACTGGGATGTGGCAGCTTGCAGTGAAGTACGGCCTTAGTATGAGAGTCCCTTTGTGCTTTGTGTCAGTCTGACCTAGTCTAACGTGGAAAACTCGCTCTGAAAGAAAGTAACTAGTCAGCAATTAGCACCTCCTTTTAGACTGCCCCATTCCCTAAGGGAACGGTGGAACAACAGAGAAGTGTTCTTAGCTGCGATCAATACCCATAAGCCAAAAGGACAAAAGTACAATTTTCGTAGTTTAGCAGAAGCAGAAGAATGGAAGTGTTTACCCAAATATTAATGCACAAATTAACTACATTATTAAAATTTGATTCAGACTTAAATAATAAATAGGTGGGCAAAATATAATGCAAGACTTACTCAGTAAAAGTGAATTTTTAATAATCTCATGAGATCTACTTAGAAAACAGGACTAATCATGTTCACAACCGTAAATCCAAACCCTTCACACACTTTTTTTTTTTTCTTAACACAGCAGTGAACTGTAAACCTGCATTTACTGGTTATCGCTTCAGTCATTTTAAATATTAACTCAAGTGTTTCCTCCTTGGCCATTTCAATTTTTAGCACCAAAATTAGCCCAAAAAGAGGTACTGGTACAGCTCGATGTTGTAAATGAATTGTTTACATAGAATACTTTATATATTACACACATACTGTACATTCACACATCCACACAAACAGGAGGCATATTTAAATGAATATATTCTGTGTTTCAATTTGTTGTCAAAGAGCAATGGAAATAAAGCAGAAGGGGTAATATTTTACATAGTAGGCAACTTTAATGCTGTAGTGCACTTATAAAAAAGTCCAACTCTCCCTCCCAGCTCAGCAGCTTTTTTTTTTAATATCACTATTCAGAAGGATGCAGAAGTTATTGCCTAAATGTTATTCTATACATTTCCATCGGAATTCTCAAAAACACTTGGAATTGCTAACTAATTTACAACTTAACTATTTTTCTTGTTACAGCTTTAATTCATTGGCAATTTTGGAAGCAATGTTTTTGAAAGCTATGGATGTTCCCGATATCCGCTTAAAGCGAACTCCGTTCAGGGACAGTCTTGGCAGTTTACACACCTCCATCTCCCACTGTACAAGGTTTTCCGCATGCCCATCTCCATGGACACAGAAAAGCAAGAAACGCTCTCTTTGTTCATAGTCACAATTATTGGCATCCAGGACCTTTCGTATTTCCCTCATCATGTCATTGGGATCCATGGAGCTGGTGGTTTTCATGCTCCAGGTAAAACGCAGCGACCGAGGCTTGGCTTCCTTGTTCTCATCCTTCTGATCCACAGCTACATTGCGGCTGAAAGACAGGAATTTATGAGTGAGCAGCGCCAGCCACCTTCCCCATGGGTCACATTAGTGAAGCAAACTAACACTCAGCACACACTACTGGTATTAGAGCAGCATCTGGAGGCTCCAGCTCCGAGCCAAGCCCCGCTTTCCCAGCTGCTGTCCACACACAGTCAGGGTAAAGCATCAGTTGTTGGGGCTGAAACAAAGGTATGGCACAATGTGTGACAACTGGAAGTCACTGGATTCAGGAGCATGAGGGAAATGACCTTCTGGAGGCAGAACTACATGCGTCACCCATGACTTGATTTTAAGGCAGGTTCTGCTCAAACCCCTATTCTCGGGCCACGTGGACAGCTGAAACATCAGCTCTGTGCTAGAAGTTTCTGGAACATTCAAACAGCAGCTACTTGTGACAAAAGGGTGCTCAGGGAGTGCCAGTCCATGGGAGGTGCCCACTTATACACACCAGGGTGACCCCATGCAGAAAAGCGCTGGGGGTTCCTCTGCACCTCCTCCTGTGCAGCAGCTTGGAGACCAAGCGCTGCAAAGGCCCAGAGTCCCACAGTAGTTGGCTGGAAGCAGGAAGAAGGACAGCAGGACCAGAGGCACCCACCTGCTGCCCCAGGGTCACTATGCACCCCCAGATTTGGACTGGTTCAGTTACACTGTGGCCTTCCTGTGGTGGTGTATTTGAGATGATCCCCAGAGATCCAGGCACTGCAGGATACTGGGGTTGCCCTTCAACAGCAAGGAGATGCTTTATCTGAAGTTGGTCAGTAATTTGTTAAATACCAACGACTGACAGAGGTAAAGTGATGAAATCTTTTGTGGCTACAAGCTCTGCAGTGAAGTGCCTCTGAGGCTGAAGTGCAGGAAGAAGAGTTGGAAGTCACCTCCTCGATGTTGTTTGTAAAGATGGTGACAGTTTTACGATGAAGCACAAAATATTGAGCTTGTGCTTCCCAAGTCTGCAACTTTTTTTTTTTTTTTAATAAAAAAGCTTTTCCTTTGGTAAGGATAAGTAAAGTTATACAGGACAAAGGAAAGAAACGTTCCAGAAATTTCTAGTTTGCAATCATTCTTCTACTTTAATTAAAATCAGTGGTCACGCAGCTAAAGAATAAGGAACTACATCTAGACCTCCAGGGAAAAAACAGATTTGCTCTGTGAATATTTGTACACTGTCAGTTGCCTCTTCAAATTTAAATATACTGTCATGCTTAACTATTTCCTGAAAATAGTTAACCTAATTGACCCCAAACCATGCAGTTGAAATCTCATGTTGAGCCTCCAAGTTCAATTTACAATATTAAGGCAAGCTGCTCTTTAAAACAGTTGGCAATGAATTTCTGGTTACACAATGTTTTTCTTTTAATACCATTAAGCAGGCAATTATGAAAAAGTTAAATAAAAAGTGATAGCAAGGCCACAACTAAATACATATATTTCTTAAAGATAACCTCTTTCGTATTTTTTCTTCTATTGAAAGACTTCCAGTGACTCTGAGAGTCATAGGACTATGCTGTCAAATCCAGCTATGTGATTTGCCAGATATTATAAAATTCATCAAGCAAATTAAAGAGTATTTTGTTTTAAGGTTTTAACTTAATAAGGTTGTAAGGGGCCAGGGGAAAACCCAACTTTTATTCAATGCTACTTTTATTTTTGAAAGCTTTTTCTACTTGAAAACAGTTGGCAAAACCAGCACAAGTTCAATAATTTCTAGTATTTTTTGATATGCTGATTTTGGACAAAAAGTATAACATGAAAAATATGTAACTATCTGTGATTTTGGAGATGAGAAATATCTTGCCACCTTTCAGTGGTTATTCCACACATTTGCAGCCTCACTAGAGACCACTTATCTAGACATCTACACGACAACAGCAAATCACAATGACTAAAACGCAAAAAAACCCAAACAACCCACACATGGGAAAAGGAAACAGGAAAGATGAAAGTTTAGAACCAAGTCGGTCTGTGCTTTAATAGCTGTTTTGCAGACAGAAATGCTTTGTTTAGTTTCAATGACTTACACGAAACACAAGCTGCTGCCTGAAGCCACTATGCCACATAATCAAGGGGAGAAAGGTTCAAACTCACCTAAGTAACATTTTAAACAAAAATTTTACCCTCACCTTGAGCCCTCAAATCTCCCGTTCCTCTCATATTCAGTCGGGAGCCTCATTGAAAAGAATGCAGAAGCAAAAGGAAGTGGGAAAGAGAAGACAAATCTTACACTACAGTATACAATAGCTGAGTAGTTGCTAAAAGATACTGCAATCATACAAAAGGTGTGTTAAAATACAAATCAACAAAGATGTAAAGAACTTTGTAGGTTAGGTCAAACTCAGAATATAACATCTTGTCAAACCAAATGGGAGTCTATAAACTACAGTTTTTAAAACTACTATTACTAATTTTAACAGTGTATGTTTATATATTAAATCTGCAGAACTCACTGAATAAAGTTGAGGTTCTAAAAGCAGAAAATGTGAAACTAAAGTTACAAAGCATACTGAAGTGATTGTATTACTCCGTAAGTAACTCCTAAAAAGAAATAACTCCCAATTATTTTCAGGCTAATGATATTTAAAAGTTTTATCTGGGAATAAAATATCTATTTGAAAAAAACCCCCTATTTACAGACAAGTCTGATCATCGTTTGTATTTGCATGCACATCAGATCTGAGGTGTTTAAACAATACCAAAATAACTTAATTGAAAAGAAGATGCATATATATTTTAACAAAAATTTAAGACATAAATCCAAGATTTCTCAAGTTGTGGTAACTCCATCTTATTAATTCCCACACTGATGCATCTTCCACACCCAAGAGCAAGCTTAAGCTTTCTGTCTTCTTGCATTGCTTAAAGCTACCATAATTTAAATGCCCAGGATTAAAAAGAATTGAGGGGAAAATTGCCTCCCTCTACCTTCCCATTATTGCAGTCGCATAGTTTGACATATCAGTGTCAATTCTGCTCAGAAGGATGCTGCCTGTACAATGCTCTTATCAAGACTATCTAAGGTAATACTTGGCTTCCCTGAATAATGCAAATTATTACAGCAGTTTGGCTGACAGGTGTCTAGGGATAGGAATCTAAGACAGTAAACTTATTTTTTGATGCACAGTGGTATTTTTATCAGGGTGTGTGGGGTGTTACAAGGCTTAATTTCTTCCTTTCCTTCCTTTTGAGGGCTGCAGTGAGGGATCACCCTTGTAAGATGACTGACAACTGGTAAGTCCTTGGCTAATTCTAGAGCTTCCACGTGGGCAGCTATTGTAGCTATTTTCATGGGAAGGTGAAAAAAGATTTTTCTTGTCTGTTTACCCAAGAAGTCACCCTCTACAACAACTCTACAGGACAGGAAAAGGGGTAGGTAGGAAAGAACCATGACATATACCAACTGAACAGACCCACACCTTTCAAATGATTGTTTTACTGGGCAAAGCAATCAAGTTAAAAAACACTGCTCAACTGGAAAACGGAGAGTACTTGATCTTTAAAGAGCCTCCTCTGTTCCTATAAGAGGTGCAAACATTTATGGATTTTTGTGGGCTTTTTGGGTTTTGTTTTGAAACTTGCTGAAGGCTGTAGAAAATGGGAGCACAACCAGTTTCCCCAACAATGAATAGTCTTGCTGTTACTGGAATCTGTCCAGAGAAGTCTGTAAGGAAAATTCCCTAATGATGTTCTGACACCCTTTTCAGGTTGAAATTGAGCCAAACTTTGTGGTTTGTGAACCACTGTACTCTAAACCTAAGAAAGGTCATTATTTATAATATACCTGCCACTTTGAAATAATAAACACCCTTTCATGGAAGCCTCTCAGAAAATCCTGACTTTGTTCAGTTTTTCCATGCATCAGTGTTCCATTCACTGAGCACGAGCAACTGCATTCAGTGACATGCATCCTCAAGTAAGAGCTCTGGATGATGCCAAGCTTTGGAGAGCTGTGCCAGCCTCTCCTTCCTTCACCATGGACACAGTTACAGTCCAGTTGTACTGCCCAGCACTGGTGCTTTGGGAACAGACACTTACTGTACTGCCACTATTGTTTCTGTGCGTCTGTGAGATGCAGCCCTGAGGCCTCCTCACTGCTAATACAGTCTTCACATCTGTGTTAGTTTGTGTTGTAAATTTTCTGCTTTTGCTTGTGTTTTTACATAAATTGATTTTATGGACCAAGATGCTCTTTTGGTCTCGAGAATGGAACAAATACATGAGCAAGTTATGTTCTCATTTATCACGCAATACCTACACATTATCTCCCTTATGGTTTTGAAAGGCTTTCACAAATCAGACTGGTTCCACACATCTGTCCTGAGTTATGCTGTGTTTCCTGTTCTTTACATCTTTGTATACTCAGTTTTAAAAATCCAAATAAATACAAAGAAAACTGTCTATGGAAAACCAACAAAAAGTGCAAGATGATAAAATAAGATCAGTTCATGGAAACGGAGAAATGATGGTGCAATAAAATCCAGAACACTGAGTCACTTTTGCTGTTAGAAAAAAAGTTAGACTTCCACAATATGCAGATTGGCAATGACAGTGCATAGTACAAGATATACATACATACATATACATACATATATATATATATATGTATCTGTGTACTGAGTACAATAATAAAACTCAGTTTAACAACAAGTGACTGATTATCTACTTTTATTCAGTTTCCTGGAACTGATGTTGTGGTATTATGTGCTACTTGGTTACAGTAGTTCTTTCACTATCAAATGCAGTGATCTTAGGTAAGATTCATAGCACATACAGCAAGAAAAAAATTGGCAACCCCCCCCAAATTTTCAGTTTTTGTACCTACATACAGATCAGGTATGGAGGGACACCATGCCCACTTAAAACAGAATTTAAAAAGCACAGTCTGGTCCTGTGTAGGTGGTGTAAGACTTGGCAAATCTCTTATTCAAAGACATATTCGTGGAAGCTGTAGCAGCTATTTCTGCACCGGTCTAAGACTCCTGGCCTCCAGTCAAAGGAAATTTTTTTTAAGTTATAGAAAAATTAAGTCTCAAATTTGAACAGTAACCTTCTAGTTCAAAACTGTACTCATATTAGCATTTCCCACTTTTCTTCGGAGCAGCACTGTAACAAACTTAGATGCATCCAGTTGTGGAGAGTTGCACAGATCACAATCCTTTATTTTAAAAGCAATGTGACTACAGAGAGAGACAAAAGCTCCCTCTAACAAAGTGGTCTGCACCCCACAGCTCATGATGTACGATGAGTTAAAACCATTGCCACTGCTCAGTTTCATCTGTGTGCTGTGTTGTATGGTTCCTTTCTTTAACTAACAGTTGTTTTTCTCAAGTCAGCTGTGACAATGCCAACCAACCCAACCAACTTTAAACACAGTCATGTTTGGAAGAGCACTGATTATTTACCATGGCATGGAATTTACTCATTTAATCAAATAGGGTACCTTTAGCCTTGGACTGTACATTAAAAATCCAAATTTAGGCAGTAATTTACACCTCTCAGGCCTCACTCTAATCTAAGGATTTCCTTGACAAACTTCAAATTACAGTCACATGCATAGCTCTGTATTTTGAAAGTTAAAACAGATGTTTGGTTTTTGGCCCCATCTCCCTCAGTACTAGGAAATTGGAAGTACCACCCTTTAAGAAGCTCCAAAATATGATACAACTAAACAGGCTATCACAAAATTCCACTGGAAAATTTACCTGAACAGCAAAATTGTGTAACTGACTTTCATGAATCATAATGGATTAACAAGATATATAGCAGCCTGATTCATTCCCAAATTGCAAAACTAAATTAAATCCTTTGGGCTTGAAATGTGATTCAGACTTTTGGGCTTTTCACTTTTAATAAATCTGCATAAACGCATTTTTTGTTTAGAACTGAAGTGCTCTCTTTGCACTTCAGCTGCAATTCACTTCAGCAAATGCATCTCATTTTAAAACAAATACACAGCCATTGCATCTTCATTCAGTCTTCCACAAACAATTCACAACTGTGCTCAGTTTGCTTTCTATTGTATCAGCTGCAGACAACAAATCTTTTTCTTCTTAAATATCATAAAACAAAGACATAATGTAAATTTAACATCACTTACCTTTATTTGGTTGTAACCTTATGTTTTGTTTATACTTTCATCATTGTTATCAAACACCTCATTCTTCAAACATAAGCATGCTAAGTGTATTAGTACAGAGAACAGAATTACTTTGGCACTACCAACTCTATCAAAGAAAGAAGAATTCACAAGGCATGCTTAGCATCTTGTTATACAGGTGCCACAGATTCTTAAGTATCATCATGAGTTAATGGATTTATTCTATGCTTTCCTCTGAAGAAAGAAAGTATTTAGTTCTCAGCAGGAAATTTAGTTTTCAGAAAACCAAGGCTAGAAAAGCCAAATCTGTTGTTAATTGCAGGAGCCACTTTTTTTTAAATATAAATAAATCCTACCTTTTGATAAACCTGAATGACATGTTTCTAAAAGAAATTAAGCCAAAATAATGATTAACAAAAAATGTTGTACAAAATAAATTGAAAAAGGCATTTAGAGTGAAGCATGCAAAAAGATCTCATTTTAAATGCACAATTAAATTACATTTCAATACATTCTCAGATTAGGCAGATGATTTAGGGTCTGAAGAGTCAAACTCCTGGCACTGCTACTTTCAAATTTTTCAGGGAAATATGTCACCAGTACTTATTATGAATTTATGTATTATGAAAGTACGTACTAGTGTCAAAACACTTTAAAACTCAAAATCTGCAAGGTCACATAAAAATATGTTTGGATTTTCTTCATATATTTCCCATAGAAACAAAAATCAGTAACTCTAAATAATTATATCTTGATCATCCTCAGAGTTAGGTTTCTTCCTTCCTTTATAACATCAGGTCAGCCATGTTGTGCCCAAAACTGCTTTAAATATTTAGCTAATTTAGTGGCACAAGCTGTAACAACTGCCTACACCAGTACATAAGTAGTTCATAATCAAAAGAATTTTGATTTCCCATAGAGAACGCTAGAGTAAACTAACAAGTTTTAATGCTTAAAAAATTATTTAAAGAGAAGAAACATAACCCTGTCCTTTGATGGCACTATCCACCTCCTTAGTAGTTTGTACAGCACCAAGTATAACAGAGCCCCAGCTGCAGGAGGTCCTCCAAGTGCAAACTAACCATCCCTAACAGTGCTATTGTGTTAAAACTGCATGTTATTTAATCAAGTGCAGATGGAATTTAAACTACTGTCAAAAGTCGTGTGGAAAAACTTCTTCAAGGAAACCACACTGCACTGCAAAAGCTGAAACTCAGAGGTAATGATAGAAGTTTGAATGCTGACTAAACAACTGAGTGAAAAGTTTGCATGTTCACAGTTTGAGCGTCCACATTTGGAATGTCAAATGGAAAATTAAGTAAGGATATTACAAACAAAACTACAGAAGGAAAGAAGTGCCAAAAGGATGTGTCTGATTAAGACTTCACTTGATATAAAGCAGATGACTTAACTATTAAAGATATTCAAATTAAGCTTCTATTTCTCTCTCTCAGCAGAAAAAGAAGGGGAAAAAACCCAAACCCAACTTCTACAGCATAGTATTTCACAGGGAAGTGATACCTGGCAGAGAACTGAACAGATTAAAACATTTACTAGACTGTCATGTTTTTGTTCTTCACAGAAACAATTTCTAAATTTTTAAAGAAATTTACTCTCTAAATTGAAATCAGCCAATTCTGAAAAACTGGAGTTTGGCTTAGCATTACTACAAATAGTAGACTACAAATAGGGAGACTACAAAAAGAGTACTGAGAGGGAGTCAACTACAGTCATAAAACACACAGGAAGAAAATGGTTTGGTGGTGATGTGGTATAAGCCTAAAACAAAAGCTAGTAGGCCAAGATCAGAATAATATTGTCCAAAAAACTTCATATGATGAGGAGGGTACAAAATCTTGGTGATTATCTTAAAGCAAAGACAAACAAGCCCTCAATTCTACAAACACAAGTTCTAGATATCAGAGTGGTCTGAAGTATGTGAACTGGTGGGTTTTAAATACAGAAGGAAAAAAGGTGGGTTTCAATTTTGGGTTTGTAGGAATCAATTTAAATCATACATGGATTTGAAATTAGAAGTCCAATTAGAATAAAAACTGTTAGTGTAGGGGCAACACCTGCTTAAGCTAGGCTTTGGCTAGACCAAAACACCTTTACACCAACCCCAGAATCTGCACATGAACTAAAGGTCAAAATAGGAATAGGTTTTCAAGGTTTGACCAGACTCCTGCCTAGACTGAAATCCTAGTACTGCCAATTTTAAGATGGTCTATGATAGCACTACTGCCAGTAGAAGCTTTTGTCCCCTGCTCCTACCCTTTCACCTGTAATATTTCTGTTTGTGTGCTGCTGGCAAGGTTATTCTGGAAACACTGACAGAGCGACTGGGAAACACAGTCTGAGCTTCCAACACTACATTTAAACACTGAGACTGGGATCCTAGTTTATGCCATCTACTGATGGACCACACAGTCAGTGAGCAGCTTTTCAACTGAGCTGAAATGTTTCATCTCTGCAGCATTCATGACATGAGGTTGAAGAGCACAGAAGAAACAGTGTAGATCAAACTGTTTTAATCCCATTTGATTCAACTGCTAAAAACAAATGGCTTCTGTAACCAAAAAAGAACTACAAAAAAATCATAAGCAAGTGCATTTTAAGTTGTAGAAATTAAGCCACTAATCAGAGAATGTGGACAAAACCACCTAAGCAATGAGCTACTATGTATTTCTACTATAAAAACAAAGAGGGGGAAAAAAAAAGGAAATGTTGCACTGCTGTTTTAAGAGGCTTACCTTCTTGTTAGTTTTGAAGTTAGTTTACTAAATAGATTAGTGGAGCCCCTGGTTCGAGTCTGTGAGAGTGGTGTTGCCTCATGGGACAGACTGGGGGAGGCAGGTGGCCCGTTGTAGGTCGCGGTGCGTCGCTCTCGGAGCTGGCCATGGAATGTGCTCCGACTGGCCGTTCCTCTGGGGAAACGAATACGATCAGGTGTGGTTGCACTGCTAATGCTGTGAGTTGAAGCAACGGGAGTTCTTTGATCAGGAATAGTGCTAGAGCAGAAAACAAAAAAACAATGCTAGAACGTCTTTACGGAAGCACTACGGGTTCAGCAGGAGACACAAAACACTACATTCTACAGTAAAGCATAAGCAGACACTTTTATATAGGCCAGGGTTGGAAATACCAACATTATTACAGCACTGTATGGAATCAAAACTTGTAAGAAGTTAGGATTAAAAGGCTGCCGAAACAGAAACCCACATAGGCAGAAAAGTGCAACAGGAGTATCCTGGAAAAGACCAGATCAACCAGGCATACAATGTTTCACTGAGAAGACTGATAAAAGAATAGACCAGAAAAGTTTCCTCCCAGGAAAGAGAAGCAATAGGTAACTTTAATGTCTCTCCCTCCACATTCTATATATACATACATCTCTGAAAGTCTTGCTAATTTGAAAGTATCCTACACAAAATTCTCTACAAGCAAACCGCTCCAAGTAGCGAAGTCCTTCAGGATACACAGTTAAAGTCTCCCACAAACTTTGACAATAGGGAATGTCCAATACTCCTAACAATAGGAAAAAAATTAAGGTTCACTATTGCAGGATTATGTCACAGACAGCCTGACACACCACAAGACAAATGTAAACAAGACTAAAAAAATGAGGAAACACACATCTTGTGGGCGATATATACTAGAACAATCTAGGACTAAAATTCCACAGCACAAAGTTAAGAAGCAGTGGGTATAAGTTAGTTTCACAACGATTTCAGGTTCTTACATAGGCCTGAAGTTATCTGCGCCATTGTCTATTGGAGGCAACATCATCTTCGTGTGCACAGAGGCTGACATGGACATCGACTTCTGATGTCGCAGCCGAACACTGGAGAAGGATGTGGTACAAACTGAAGCAGGGCTAGCTGCGTAAGCGAACATTTCTGTCAGGCTGCGAGGGGGTTTGGGTTCAGGCAGAGGCAGAAAGAAGAGCATGATGGACCAACAACAAACTACTGCATAGAAAAAAAAAAGCAAACTTTTCCTTCTATTAACTGGTTTATCAAAGAACACGAACTCTAACAGCCCTCTTCTACGTAAACAGCAGTAACTACCCTACACTTCCCTTAAAAAGCACTTGACATCTATGAAGTGACCATGCTCTTACCATTAGCATTAGTTTGCAGTGATACCCTCCCTCCTTGATGTACAGAACCTGAGTAACTCAGAATTCTGTGCCAGAGCACTGATGTGACTTGTATTGGTCTTAACAGTAAACAATGCATTAAAACCCCCACCAAATGCACTTTCCAAAAGACTGATGTTAGCTCCATTACTGCAGTGAAATCCTTTGTTTTCAGAATGTATCCGTGTTAAAAAGAAATTAGTGTAAGTTGGGCAAGCTGTCAAATCAACATCTGATAACTGAGGGACTTCACAGGCACAACTGAAACCAAAAATATAATGATCTTTAACAACTCCAGAGAGGCCAAATGGAAAAGGCTACTAGTAATCATCAACCTGTACACGCAGTAGGCAATGAATACACCTGTTGTTCCCTGAAGAAAGAGATATGACTGTTGAAAAGCACCTCATATTGCTTGGCCACAAACAGTAAATTCCCAAATTACCATTCAGGCTTTGAGGGAAGATATATACAGCACTGTTTTAGCAGAATGGCCAGTAAGCTGCCAACTGTACAATATGATAAAATAGGAGCATGAAATATTTTTCTTTCTTCGGCCCAAAATAATCTTTGCAGCCTTCACATTGTCTAGCAATGGTAAGGATAGGAGAAAAGTGAGAGGCCACAAGATGTTTTGGGCCTTTCAGACTACACCACCATATGTAATTCATCTGAAGTTTGCTTTAAAAGTAAGGCAACTGTAATTCAGAAATATTGCTCAAGGTTAAGAAATCAGTAATTGTCAGTGACAGTTTCATGACACTGCATGTTCACTTCCAAGTTACTTCATGGTTACACGCACTGAAACTCGAGTCCCCTTATCTAACTGTGGTATGGCAGACTTTGCAGAGGCAAATGCTAGTCCAGCTACAAGTGTCAGCTGACCCACTTCTCAGGCTTAGCTCCCAAAGCACTAGTACAAAACACCACACAGCTCAGACTTCTGAACGGTTGACTACGTTGACTACGGTTGACTATACTTGGTTTTGGTTTGTTTTTAACTTCTCAGGATCTAGAAAACTTCATGTGAGTCATGCATGCATCTTTTTGCAATGCTAAATCCATCAGGATGCCAACTACAAGCACTGCTTACGATGAAGCCTTCGACACAGCCCAGCATTTGAATTACCTCAGGGTATTAAGAAATGGTAAGAAAACGAACATTTGTCTCAAAACTAATACACTGAAGTCAAGTAATCCCCAAATAATTGGTCATTAGCCTCTCAAGAACTCCTAACTCCTTTCCTCTCTATTTGCTGCAAAAGGTAGAAAAGAAAGATTCTAGTTTTACAACACATTAGACCCAAGTTTTATTTAGGCACCTGCCTCCAAAGATGTGACATCTAAAGGTATCAATAAGGGACCAGAGCACATATTAAAACATTTATATCTTTTCCTCTGATGCTTTTCTAGAAATCAGCTTCCTTGGATTACTGGCCTGGGAACACAGGAACAGTAAGCTAACAATCACCAATTAGTGCCAAGGCTTATTAAAAATCTGAAGCTGTTGTAAATCATTTGTGTTACAAATGATTTAAAGCAATTGCCTATCATTATGAAGAGTGTTTCATGAGTCCCCAAGTGCGTTAATTAATGCTCAGGCTTTGGAGGAAAGCCAAAAGAATCATCTCCAGCAGAATGACTGTGTCAGCCACACAATGTGTTAAAGGAGAGATGTGAGACTTAAAAACTCGTTGCTTCTCCCAGTCTGGCATGGTGTCTTCAAGACTACTTTCTCCAACATCAAATGTACCAGCTGACTATTGATTCTTCAGAGTTTCCATACTTTCAGAAATAGTGCCTTCTCAGAATACAATGTGCAAAATAAAAACAGAACAAGCAGCATTTTAATACTTTCTCTATAGAAAAAATAGAGACTTTAAGCATGTGTATCTTGCCTTTTAGGGTAAGTCTCCAAGTTTTGACTGGGTCACAGTCAGTATCTGGCTATGGAAAATCTAAAATCCAATCTGTAAGAAATCATTTATAGGAATTACTCCTGCCTGCAACATTTGCCACCAATAGACATTTCAAAAGCACAGATATTATTTTTAACGACACCTTGGATTTTTACAAAGGCCAGGTTCTACTTCAGATCTTGCTTCACAAAAGAAAAAAAGAACAAGTTTCTAAAGTTAGTTTCTGCCAAGCTGAGAGAACAATAACATTACAGGTTCATTCTGAAGAGCCAGTCCCATCAATAGCCATGTTGATTTAGCCTGCATTAAAGGCCTCTGCATTTCATGTGACCAGTCAATGCTTTACCCAGTTACAGCAACAAAACATATTCAGACATAAGTTGTGAATTCTGTGCCAAATCACAGTAATTCTGAAACTGTGCCAAAAGGAACATGCAGTTTAGTACTAAAGCATTTCAGACAATGACAAATCTCCAACTGTAATACAATTAGCAATGCATTACCATTACCTTTTCTCTTTTTAACCCTTTATGAAGAGCAATGAATGTAGTAATCAAACATACATGATAAAAGCTATAAATTATTTTTTACCTAACAATGAATATATAAAAATACATATATGTATAAATTCTCAGACATTTCAAATGACCCAAATAAGGCTATAGTTTGTAGGAAAAGCAAATGATCTTTAAATATATTGACAATAAAAGGTAAGTTACACAAGGATAACCAATTATGGATATAAAATACTACTGATATAATTGCCAAGTGCTACTCAGTGTTAACTTTGAGATTAATGTCCACCTGTGACAGACCAGAAAGACATCAGTTTGCTGAGAAACTCAAAGTTGGGGAAAAAAATTCAAAAGACAGCTCCTTATGAGTATGAAGTTACTCCTTAATTAGGGGAACATCTGAATCTCAAGCATTCCTAGTAAACAGTACCTAGTAACTTTAAAAAATGTAATAAAGAAATTGTGGACAAGATATTGCAAAGATATTAGTTTAAGGATGAACAAAAATTATATTAAACCAAGAAATCAAGTAATAAAAAATGATCAAACCTCTTTTGGACAGAAAGGTTCATTTTTCAAAGAGTATTTGGAAATAAAAAAAGCTATTATCATATCAAACCAAAGAAAGGATAGTGAACTTTAATCTAAGCAAACTTGGTAACATTAACAAGGAGTAAACCAATGAAGGCTGGGACAGACACACTAAGAGACAGTACCAAATAGCTGTGCTGCACTTCACAAGACAGTTGACTGCAGGCCCAGCTGGCCAACTAGACTTTTGGCAGTCTTCAAGCTTATACTTGACTTTTTTCTTAATCACTTTCCGTTTGCAGAAAGTTAGGAGGAAGAGACAGGGTCAAAATCATGTTCTTTATCCCTAGGCTCCAGGAATCAAACAGGGGACAGACAGACTTTCCACTCAACATCACAACTTCGCCACTCTTCCTTATAAACTGCCAAAAGGAGGGGGAAAAATTTTGTGCAGAAAACGGCTGATCTTTCAACTTCAACACAAGCTAGAAAAAAGGTATTTTCCTTCCACTCTTTGCAAAATATCATAAAATTAGGAAGGGGTGGAGAAAATTGGGAAGAGTAGGAGAGGGGTACACATTCCTCCAAGCTTAAGCATTTTTATTAAGTATCAGCTATCCGGGCACTCTCCTGGCAATGGTCAACTACTTAACTGTTACCAGCATTTGACGACAGCAAAATCCTGAGAAGAAGAGCTAGAACTTAAAATACCTCTGCCAGTCAGGAAATTTGGTGGTATTCTTCCCAGCTGTCACCCTATACCTAATATCTACATTCACTATTATATTATTTCTGACAGCTCTTCTCAGTCTTCACAGGATGGCACGAGATGTGACTATGGTGCCAACACATGAAGTGGTTAACTCCAATTCCATTGCGTGCTCTAATCAGGCTTTCATTCAGGAAAATATGAAGAAACTCATTATTTCTCTAATGTTTTCACTCAGAATACAGAGATAGTTGCTTCCCTCCTCAAGATGAGTTCTGTAAATACTGGGAAGCAATTAGACTATCAGAGTATGAGTAAAGAATGCTATTGGTCCAAGATAAATTGCCTATCACTCTTTCATCTTTGCTCAGAAAAAATGTACCTTCCCTCTGAGACTTTATAGCAAAAATGGTATTCACAATAATCCTAATGAAACACAGTTTAGAGTGAAATGTAAAAAAAGAACGGTTCAAGAGAGAAGGACTTTGTGGTCTGACACTAAACAAGCTTATTCTGCAAGCCTATGTTGTTTGGCCACCAGAGTTCACAACAGGTTTAAGATGAAGGTTGTTACAAATATTTCATGTATTTAACCAGAAAATAGAAATTTCCTCTTACATTCTAATTAAAAAGAGTATACAAATCAAGTATAGGAAAAAATCCCAAACCCCAACATACTTACAGGTGCTCCATAACCAAAGATCTGTACTCACCTTTCATTAAGAATTACATTAGAATATTACTGATTTCTAAATTAGCATTACATTTTTTTTGGAAATGTGAAGACAAGGGACATACACCAGAGGAAGACATTTCATATACCTGTTCTCCTTGCCATTTTGTATCACTGAATGCCTATCAGCAGTGGTTCTTTCACTACAAACATATGTGTTGCGCCGTGTCATTGCTCCAGGGGCAGTATTATTCTACAATTAAAAAACACAGGCTTGTTATTCCCTACAAAATTCTGGGGTTAAGTCTACATATAATCAAAGGTTGTTTTTACTTAATGCTAGTTCTATACAGTTATAAAACTGACAATGACTAAATAAATTAATATACAAACACCATCTACTATTTTTAAGGAATAATGCAATCAGAAAAAATAACTCAAAACAAGTTGTTCTTGTATTTCATATTGATGGCTCAAAATTAATACTGCTTAAGGTTTTTTAAGTACCAATGTTTTGAATTACAAATTCTCAACATATACAGCATTCATCTACATCTGGATAGCCTGTATCTTTATAGCCTATTTTTGAAATACTTTACCGCTTGTAGCTTGCAGAATTTTCCATTAAGTTAAAATCATAACCCTTAAACAAGATAGGAAAAGCAAAGACTTAACAAACAAATGTGGTAAAATTCAGTGGGAAGGTAAACACGGACTTTTAATTATTAAGATACTATAAAACACTAGACAAGTTTTAAAAACAGGGAAGAATAAGAGACAAGTTGCAGAGAATTTCAGTAAGACATTTTTAAAAATATACATTTAAATACAAGCATAATACACTGAGGACAAGAGAACCAGGGGAACTTAAACTACAGACCTTACTTAAGAGGGGAGAAAAGAAATAGAATTACTTTGCCTCTGTCTTTACAGAGAAAGAGGGTGGAGATATGCCCAAGTTGGCGGTCAATTTTCCAGGAACGACTGAGAAGCTATAGGCAATTCACAGATAACAGAATTATAAAGAGTTAGATGCAATTACTGTAGGAAAAGCATGGTGGTCCAGACAAACATGCACCCCCGGGTTGTAGAGGAAGTAAAAGCTGGCAAGCCTTGTATTTTTTTCTCCCCACCCCAAGAACAAAACAGAGGAAACTGCATATGGTTGGAAAGTGGAAAAAAACCTTTAAAAGTTTTCCTTAAAGAAAAGGATCACGGGGCAAAGCAGGAAGCAAAATAGGCTATTAACTTTAAACATCACTGCTGGGGAAAGTCTTGGAGGAGGCCAGCTTAAGGGAATGACTGGTCAGCACCTGGATAAGCACATGTTGAGTAAGGATGGCCACCAAGAGTCAGGCAGGGGACTTCATGCTCAACTAACCTTTTGGAGTTCATTGAAGAATTATGCTATTGACAGACAAGGGAAATTCAGCGGATTTTAAAAATAGCATTAAGAAAAGGTTTCGCATAAATGGTCACAGGAGAGAGTCATGGGAAGAAGGATTGAAAAAAAAAAAAAGAAAGGAAAAACTAGTTCAAGCACAAAAGGGGAGTAGCCAAACCTTTTTTGTTTCCGAACCTGAAACAGAACTGTTAAAGTGGAGTATTCTCAATAACCAGCATAAGTTCCTCCAGTGCCTTAAGGCAAAATATTCACTATCCAAGGAGTCTCAAGCAACAGAATCTCTGAGCTGCAGATTTAACAATGAAGCCATCTTGTCTAAGAGACTGCTGACCTGTTTGTTATACATCTTTTTATGTAAATGTACAAATTAAAATGCAACAGAGAAGTGTGCAGCCTCCTGGTGTTAAAAAGTACAAAGAATATCAACAGTACTTTAGATTAGCAGAACTATTAATTAAATCATAAGATGGATGTAGCTATCTGAAGGGTTCTCAAGTATTCTTCACTGGATGTTCCTTAGGGAAAGGCATGTGCCAAGCATCATAAGTCCTCCTGGCCCTTTCCTTGTACTTTATTCCTTGTCTATTCCCTTGTCTTCATATATGTTTATTAATTTTTTAAAAACCACCATTGATTCTTCTGCTTCCTTCTGACATTTGTCACTTTGCAAACTCTCCTCTCTTTACCAAACTTGGTAGCAATGAAAGTTGTGCACCTAAGGTGAAGTTTTGTTTATATGATCTTGGGAGGTCATGCTGTGCAAGATACTTAGTGGAGGCCTTGCAAACCAATGGTACAGTGAAGTATTGCATATTAGGATTTGCAGATCATTTTGTTTTGTGTTCCTTAACATATCAGAGAATTGAGCACCTGGAATATCCAACAGTGGTTTTCTGGTGGGAGAAACACACAATAAAGGGTGGTTTCCTTCTTTCCACTAGCTCCCTTTGAACATTAAGTATTTGTTTCCCTTGACACCACATAACATTGCAATGCACTGTGATGTTGCACATCTGGAAAGACAAGACAGTAATCTCTGTGCTGGACCAAACCTTAAAGACTATGCTTTTCCAGGTCTGTGAGTGGACAAGGTTTGGTTTTCATATTTGAAATTGGAGGACTGTAAGGACGAACTTCTGCTCATTCTAAAAGGCGAAGATGGAAGGATCAGTATACATTTTTTTCCTGTTTGGCTCAGACTTCAGAGGTTGGGAGATTGAAGCCTTTCTAGGTTTCGAATTTCAGTTTTAGCAAGAACAGTCTTGGTATCAGGGCCTTTACAGTTTTCAGCATATGACCTTTCACGATTCATCAAGGAAGCCCTTCAGCTGCGACTTTTTTTGTTCAGCCAATCTTCAGACTGCTAATCTCTGGACATGACTAAATGGCACAGCTGCACAGCACAGGAAACTGGTATCAACAGCACCCTGCTCCCTGATGGAATGACAACCCCTAGGGTCAGGGTTAGCTGCCTAAGTTCATCCCCGTGGCACTGTCTGCCTTCTTTGCAGGAGGTGCTGACACTGCAAAAGCACATGTTGAGACTTGTATATGCACAAAGCCCAATCGCAGCACAAAGGATGAGTTTGTGGTACAGAGTCCTCCTCTTTTCCTAGAGAGAGTCTTGTGTGCACTGCTTAGGCAGGCTGTTTTCCCATTAAGAGACACCAAGGCGAGGACTGATGAAAAACTTTCAAAAAAACCAGCTTCTGACTTACAACAGTGACCCACTCCATTTACTTAAGAGCATCAGTATCGTATTTGGTCCTAAATCATTTCCCAAATGTACCACCTATTCTCCTCTTCCAGTTTTCTTAAACCTGTACTAAGGGTTCTGTGGCAGCCATATTACAACACTGAGGAAAAATCCAAAGCTGTGAGTAATAAACAAGGAGTTATTTAAACAAGGAGTTACTACTTGCTGCTAATTATGCAACCTTTGTGGCAGGTTTTTGTTTTTAATTTCGTATTTGCCCAATAAGCTTGAAGATTTTTGGTGTGCACTTGTTCAGCTTGCAGAACTACTTAGTTTACGAGAGTTTAAATGCTCTGTCAACTTCAGAAGTACAGCCTGGAGCCCCTTACTTCAACCCCAGACTTAACTATCTGTTCTACAAGCACAGTTCTTAACCTTAAGTGCATACTTATAAGCTTTGTTATTTAACAAGAGCAGCACAAAACTGACTAAGGGTCTCCAGCAAGGACTGGTTCTGCTGCTTCTGCTGTTCTCTTGAAGTAATAATCGTTTTTATAAAGTATTTTTGTGTCTTTTCAGTGTTTTTTTTCACCATATTGCAGATTTTAGGACTTCAGTGCTCAGTAAGAATACAAACTCTCTTCACCTCAAACTTTTTTCAACTTCAGGACAATATGGTAACTCCAATAACCTTTTTTTCCTTCGAGATGCATGCCAGTGCTGTAAGAAGTAAAACTTCCTAATCAGTTGCAGGAACTGTGTAAAAAGTCAGTGCCTCCCTTCACCCCTCACAGCAGAAAGCCAAAGACTCATCTTCAGCAGGGAAAAAAAAAAAAAAGAGTTTGCACTGTCTGACATGAAGAGTTATAAACAGAGACAATTTTAAACACTAATTATTAAGTGACATCATAAGTCTCATTCCATGTTCACCATCTTGTATCACTGCTTGTAAAAGATCAGTTGGAGCAGTTGCACACCAAGTCAGAGAAGTATCCTATGGTTATGAGCTCAAAAATTATTTCAGGTAGAGTAGTTAAGAAATTTGGAATAAGACTACTGGAATAAATCTCCAGGATTTGGGAGCATCATAGAATAGCAGATGAAAAGATACTGAATGTAAAATAAGTCATAACCGGGACACAAAGCTTCTGAAAAAGGCACCACATTGCACGAAGTGGTAGGACAAAAGTGATTTGATTATCCCACAATTTTGAGATTCAGTAGCTAAGAACTATCATGTAAGAAAAAACCAAATCTGAATGGTTTCTGGACTGATCAAGAATGAAGGAAAAGTGCAGGGGACCACAACAATCAGAAAAGGGTCCCCCAAAATCCCAAGTTCTTTTTCACATTTATGAATAACAGCTGCTACAGTAGATGTGTTTTTCCAAAGAATCTCTTGGGCTGAAAGTCTCGAGCCAAGTCACTGTTAGCCACTGAGCCAACTGACAATACAGAGCCAATAAAGTGAAACAAGTCTTATTTTATTTCTTTTGCTTCAGACTGTCAAAAAGCTGTGAGCTCAGGAGGTTCTGCTCTCATCTGTTCTAAGTATTGGTGCTGAGTATTATGACCAAACATGAGAGTTTTGTGGGATAAGTTTAAAAAAAAAAATCACCAAAACCTGAATAAAGGACTGGGAAGCTTTTCTTCTGAAAAGAAGGAAGTTTTTCAGTACAAAATCCTAAATTTTTAGAAATTAAATGTTACAAGATTCAAGTTTTATTATGTGAAAACAGATTTCTAACCTTGCCTCAGATGGAGGGACCAGAAAGTACACAATCTAAAGCCAAGCTGAACAAAGGATCTTCTTTCTTTTGGCACTCTGCCTACTGCTTGACCATGTACATTCATTAGTTTTGCACCTTAGTGTGTCTTTCTTCTTGTGGTTTAGAGGCAAGCAGGGGAAGCCCACAAGGACAAAACTCAAGCACACTGCTTTTGAATACAGGCTGAAATGCACCTTTGAACAGTTTTTAGAACTACATTTCTTTGATAATCTTAATATACATAACTATGACTTCCTTGGATACAAAGATTAGGTGGTTCTTTATACACCTGAAACTATAAAACAGGGTAAGAAAATCTCTGTACAGAAGATTTCACTCTTCTGTAGAGAGGTCACAGAAGAGTAGCTGGTGATATCAGGAGTAATGTAACTACTTTTCTTTTCAATACCCAAATGATGTCTGTCACTAAGAGCTACTAGTGCTAATTATGAATACTGACTACTTCAAGACTACTATGAGGTAGCTTGAGTAGCTTGACTAACTGCAGGGGGGGAAAAATGCAACAGTATGAGATACCTATGTTTACTCTTGGTGAATGGAAAGTAAGATCTGCACCACTGATAAATCACAGGTTTTTTACCCCTCAAAAAATGCATGGTTTTGATAAATAAACGTTTCTACTTACACTAGGAACAGCCGAACTTTTCTTACGTTCAGGAATATCAGCTTTATTGGGATTGCTGGCATTTCCAAGCATTGGACTAGCTGGTGCAATTCCTCTTCCTGCAACTGCACTACTGCTGGATTTTCTTGACTGAATTCCTTCCTCTTTGAGGTCACTGTCTGTAGTACTAGTCTGGCTTCTTTTGGGATATGCCACTACTGAGGGGATGGATGGTCCAGCTTAAAAAACAAACAAAAGAAACAGGAAAAGGATTTTTCTCCTCAGAACTCCAGTATTTTTCACCGTAGTGGAAATGTATTCACACATGAGAATCAACATAGTTAACACTGGGAATCAGAGTTGCAAGAAGGTAATTATTTAAATTACTGAAATAAATGTATTTCAGGAGACAGTAAAATAGTGAAAAATAAAAACCTTTCCAGATGAAGATACTACTTGATTTCCATGAAAGAATTATGAATTTCATGACAGAATTACGAATTTCATGGTTTGGCTTTCTAGGAAAAACCCTTTAGAGTCATCTTAAAGACACTTAGCAAGTAACTGACTCATTCAAACCAGACTATCCTTCATTAGCACAAAGCTGGTACATGCTGTTCAAGCCAATTTCTGATAAAACAGGGTTCCTGAGACAGGTACCTGGTGACATCACCCTGGACCACCACTAATGGCTGTTGAACTGTGCTCTCGGAATGTCCCAGAAGTGGCAGCAGTTCCCAACCAGCCTCCTCAGCTGTGCCAGGAACAGAAAACTGCTCCAGCACACCTGAGAATGGAATGAGGCAGCCCCTTCAATAGTCCCAAGCTCCCTCTTGCTTTAATAGATTCCTGGACAAGGGGAAAAGCCTATGGGGTTGTCAGGATTGTGTTTTCTGACACCTCAATTACACCTCTGAAGAGGATACATCAAGTTACATCAACTTTGTAGTTAGGGTTTTAACAAGAGTTAATCAAAAAGTGTATGTATATACACAGACATAAAAAATACATATAAATACATATTTAAATATATGTAACTAAAACTTGCTTTAAAAGCATCAAAACCCACAGTAACTGTCATCCCAGAAGACTCCCCAAGGAAAGTAACCTCTGAATGCACACAAGGTATTTCAAAACAGACCTAAACTGAGACTCCTTTTATGAGTTAAGTATCTGAGCAGGAAGATGTTTAAGATATTTAGAAAACCCTATTCTACTATATGACACTCTCATTAAGCAGAAGAACTGTAAGTTTGTCTGAGTCATTGTTCTTAACAAATTTAATTCCTGCAGGACAATCAAGTGACACTACCCTCAGGAAACAGGAAACAAGAAATATTGGCAAACTGACATTTCTTCAAGTTTTAGACACAAGCTGACCTACTAGTGTCAAAAGAAAACAAAAGCTGAACAGACATACAAGAGCATGGGGGAGGAGTGCTGTGCTTTTCATGAAAAAGGGGGTTGCAACATTCTCTTCAATTTGTGTAACAAGACTTTCCCAGCACGGTCAGGAATGTAAGGGACAACACAAGGCAGAATAAGGGAATTAAGTTGGTGTATTCAGCATTCCTCTAGAAGCTGCTTCTGAAGGCTATATAACAAAACCAGTTAGAAAAAAATTAGTTATTTAGTGAACTATTTAACCACCACGCTGTGAACTACACTGTAGTCATCCTCCTTACACTTGGGGGATGGAGACAAATCCAGAAACCCAGCAGAGCTGGAAGTCACAGTATTCTGCTACACTGAAAATGAGAAATGCTCACCGTGATCACTGTACCGCCGCTGCTTCTGGGTAGAAGATATGCTTCTCTGAACTTTGTGATGAGGAGATTGTCCAGTGCTATTATTAAGATCACTACTTGGCCTAACTTTGGCAAGTGAAAGATTGCTGCTGGAGCTTGAATCACTTGCATCCAACTACAATAAAAATGAGAATATTGAAACAAGGAGTTCAAATGAAACGAATAAAAACATCTATCACATTATGGGAGCAGGAACAGGGAGGATGGCCCTGCTACATGGAAAACTCAGGGGGCACAGATAGTTACTTAGAGGCTCCACCTTCTCTTAGGTTGTTATGCAACTGTCTTAGGTAAAACTCAGCGGAATTTGCAGCTCCTCAAAGGATACCAGATAAAGAAAATCCATCTGCATTTTCAGTACTCTTTCCTCAGAGTTCTCCAAGATTTTAACACAAAAAGAGCATACACACCAACTCCTCCAACAGAGGAACCAAGAGCAACTTACTGGTGCCAAGCCCTCTCAGCATCATATGGAAAGGTAAACTACAGTGTAAGAACTTTTTCAGGTTGATCATCCTGCTCCTTGGCTCTCTTAAAACAGTTAGAGCTGGCATGTTCACACTTAAGCTCCTAGACTAGACAGGACAGTAACTGCAACGAAATCCTTCAGAGGAGTAACTGCTGAGCAAACAGGGCAGTTTTGGGGAGCCTAAAGGCAAGAGTTTACTGACTCAAGATCAGGGTGAGAACAAACACAGCATCATTTGGACTGCTGATGATTAGAATAATGTGACTTAAAGTGTAATGGACTTTTATGCAGGAACGCAATGCCTATAGTTACCGACTTAATTTTTGCTTCTGACTTTGCTAAGGACACCTTCAATTTGTTTCTTTGCAATTTTTAGACTGGTACTTACCTCTGACGACTTCCTTCCTAGCAGTAAGTATGTAGCTGTTATTTCATCATACTTCATTTTACTAAGGGATTCTTGAATTTCTTCTTGAGAATATCCCATTCCTACCATAATATCTAAAAACAAATACACATTCTCTAAGTAACAGAAACTCTGGCATTCAGGCTGGCTGAGTGTTCAAGAGAAAGCATGGAACATTTAAAGAATTAAAACAAAATTATTCAGTTTGAGAAAATAAACCTGATGAAATAATAGTATTAAAAGACTAGTTACTTTTTCCAAGTGGCAAACAAATAGAGTGATGGAGGAGAAAAAGTCCCCTCCTGCATGAGGCAAACAATATCAGACTCTGGAAAGTACTTGGTTACCTATTCTTTTCTGGTCCGAGATGTCTAGTTCTGGTTCAACAAAAGGTTTAAGTTCATCCTCCTCATGCCCTGCATTGATCCACCTGTCCTTCATGATTTGCTATGAAAGAAAAAGATTTTGTTAGCACAATACACTTACCAGCAAAGAAAATAAGCTGTGGGAAGAATAACTCCCCCATCTACCAAAGACTAAGGTCTTTTCTAGTTTTTCTTTTCCAGAACATTCCCAGCACCTACTCAGTTTTGCTTGGCTCCAGTGAGGAGAATCAACGACACACATCGAGCCAAGCTGCTTCCCAGTTAGATGTATTTTAGCCCACAGTTGAAAGCCAAAAGCCTGTAGCACAGACCAGGAGCAGTGTGACAACTTTGACAAGTCTAACAGGTCCACGGAAGGCCAAAACGATACTCGTTTTCTCCTCCATGATGGTACAAAAGGTAGGGAAAAGGCAACCACAGCAGCCAATACCTCCAGTTTGCATTTGAAAATGTGGGAAAACAAGGAAAATGTCCTGGTGGATCATCCATTAATGCAGGAATCCACAAGGTAATCATCAGGAAATATATAACATAGGAAGTGTAGCGACACGTTCATTTTTAAAGTAACTGTGGCGTCAGGTGTCTTATAACCCCAGTAAACAACGCCTTTAAAGGGAGTCATGTGCCTTAGTCAACCATCACACCTCCAGCACCCACTCCAAACACACTATTCGGAACAGTAAGGCAATAAGCTGCAGCTCAAAAATACAGTTTGCAAAATAGGATGTCTAGCTTTCTGATGTACCTTATTTGTGCCATTACCTCTAGAGTGCCTCTTTTTGTTGGGTTTAGCACCAGGAAACGTTTGAGGAGGTTTTCACAGTCTGTGGACATGTAGAAAGGAATCCTGTATTTCCCCCTTAGCACTCTTTCTCTAAGTTCCTTAGTAACAGAAGAACAAACAGTAAGTTGTAAGCAGCAAATCACTTAAACTATTAGATAATCATGCCCAGCATATTCTACAAAAAAAGCACCTTTAAGTTCTGTCCATCGAAGGGAAGAGATCCACTCACGAGAGTATAAAGAATAACACCTAAACTCCAAACATCTACTTCAGGTCCATCATATTTCTTCCCTTGAAAGAGCTCTGGAGCAGCATATGGTGGGCTGCCACAAAAGGTGTCCAGTTTATTTCCGACTGTAAACTCATTGCTAAAACCAAAGTCAGCTATTTTAATGTTCATATCTGCATCTAGCAATAGATTTTCAGCCTGGAAGAGAAAGAATGCTTTGTAAGACGAATAAAATACTTGATTCAGAATGCTATTGTTTTTTCTTATTCTTAAAAGGCAAGAAGCTGAAATATCTATTAACATTCCCTTCCTTGCAAGGTGTTTAGGTATGCTTCAGTCTATCATTTGCATATCCCCTATTTTAAAAATCTCTGTAAAATGGCTTCAAACTATAGGAGTTGTTATGCTACCTGAAAACTTATTACCATTTATTTGTTTTCTCCACAGAAATGCATCTTACATTTTGGTCTATTCAGATGAAACCAAAATATAGTCTCACTATCTGTGCTTTACGGCATGTGGCAATCCTGCAATAGTTTGGTAATAAACATAACCTTTAAACTTTTTTAAAGTGTTCTTTTTTTTTGGTGTTGGTTTCTGGTCTTTTTTCTTTTTTTTTTTAAGTTACAAAGCTTGTAACAAGTAAAAAGGCACAGTTTAAAGAAGACATATGACATTTTGTGCCAAGCTACAAAGAAGCCCTACTTCAGTTTCATCATCACTACTGGTAATTCATTCTGTTTGAGACTAAAACTTGTCATATTTCTATCAAACTACTTTTTTAAAAAAAAAAAAAAAAAAGATTTCTGAGCTAACACTGACCTGGATCAGATCTGAATGTAACCACAGGGTGACAGGTTATCTTTCAGCAGCCATTAAATTTCTGTATTTAAAAGCCTTACAAATCCTCTTCATTTGAAATGGTTCTAAACTGTAAATAGTTCTCAAAACTTGCTAAACACGTGCAAACAAATAAATTAATAAATCAGAAAGCTTAGTATACACTACATTTTATTGGCACAATAAAGACCACACACACAGGTACAGAAGCTGACACACATACACTGCACACACTTTTTCTTACTCACCTTGAGATCTCTATGAACAATATGCTTTTGATGGCAATACTGCACTGCAGATACTATCTGGATAGAAAACAAGTCAAATTATGTAAGTGTCATCTCAAAGAAACATGACATATAATAAAAGATTTCAACATTGACTACTGAAGTTGACATACACTTATTCACTCAGAGCTGTGTAACCAACTACTACAGTGGCCAGCATATTTGGGGAAAAGCTGCTAAATAACTTGGGTGTTTGTTATTTGATCTATTTGTTTTCTCCTATACTTGAACGAGGATTTTGTTTTTCCTGTGTGGCTAATTATAGACCAGTAGAAGCAATGACTTTCAGAAAGGTTACTGAAGTATTTCCATTCCAATACTGTATACAGCTATAAAAGCTTTCCCCCTACACTGATGTTTTCCAGACCTTCTCCGAAGGTGATTTTTCATGCCACAACACAGAGAGAAAAAGGTAAGAAGTGGGCTTTAGCTACTGGAAAAACTACTGGGAAACAGCCTGTTTGTCAAAACTTAAGCAGTGAGAAGCAACCACACATCTGACAGAGATCTGCTGTCTAAGTGCATATGGTTTATTGCATTTTGTATATTACAAAAGAGTAGAAAGTTCAATGGAAAAAACTCTCTATGTCTCTCAAGTGTAATGGGATCATTTCTTCCAGCATAATTTCTGAATATCATTAAGTTTTTCCTGCTTTATATACCAAACTATATAAGCTTTTTACACAGTGCAGTGTCATACTACATTGCTTCTTCAGTCATAAGCATTGCTGCAGAACTCTGCATGTATGGGAAAACTTGGATAAAGTATTATTCTTACATTATCACAAATGCAGTCAAATGCATTTTATTTGCTGTGTATACATGGTCAGAATTGAGGCAGATGTTATGATTTCTTAAAATAAGTGGAACTGCACACAAAAATAATAACTATGTTCAAAAAAAAAAATGTATCTTCAGCCTCCATACAAGATTAAGAAGATTTTCAATACAGAAAGATGACATAGCACTACTGTTAAAAAACTAACTCATGATCACATCACCCAGCTTAGTGTAAGGATCCTCCTGTACTGCTAAGGAACAAAGGTTCTCTCCCTCAGTATTCAGAGTAGATGAAAATAAGGTTCTTGGTAGGCCAAAGAACTGATGTGCCAGTATATTTTGTATTTGAAACATAACCACCAGTAGGATGTTTGTGCCCTGTATTACTGCATCACACGTGTGCACAATGCCACCTTAGAAACCAAGCAGTCTGTGAAAAGCTGAAGTACTATTTCCATTCCCTATGCTTTCATTCTGGTTTTGCTTGTTTCTTTATGTACTGGTTCCCTCTTTCAGACCCCAAGTTCAGCTTTTTACCGATACTGAAATTGCCAAAGTGCTCCCACGCCACAGTTTGTACCATCCTTTTGGTTTCCTTTCCTTTCCTCTCTGCTACCGTTACCTCAGCACCAGTCACAAGCTCACTCTGCAGAGGCTCCCGAGGCTGACAGCATGACAAACACCTCAAGCTTTATTCAGGACTGCAGAGACACAGCACTATACCACTTACTCCTGAACTGCTTTCATTGTGACTGTCTAAGAGCGGAAGGTTGAGCAGATGATCAATCAGTAGCCTCCTTTGGAGAGGCTTTTGAACTACCCTGCACTGCAACAGGATGGCACAGAGACTGCAGAAGGGAGTCCAATCCACATGGAAGCAAAATAAGGCAATGTGTATGACATTAATAATTGAAGAACAGCAGTCATAACTGAATGAAAAACAGCACAAAGCATGGCTGCATCAGACTGACTCTCTTTTCTTCCACCTTCCATCACTGTTGCCATTGACAGTCCCTCACTTCCCACCCACTTGAGTGTGAGGAATTTTCTGACAGTTGGCAGGTGAGAAGAGGAGAAGAAACATCTGAGGTTTTTGCTAGAGGTAACAACTGGAGCACTGAAGTACATTTCTTAGGAGGCATTTCAAAAATCTGTATAAACATAGGTTTTAAAGAACAAGTTAGAACAAGTTACGTCTAGGCAGAGAAACCATCTTTTTTAAGGATTAAATGACAAAAGGATAGATAAATGACCTCTCAAGGTCCCTTCCACACCGCCAGGAGTATTCTGTTTCTTTACTGGAACATACAAGATGTATTTTGTGGATATTTTATTTTCCAAGATCTGTCCTAACATCTACCAGCATTAAGAATTCTAAACTACTTCTGCAGGAAAACAGTGGGAAGACTGTAGAAGGCCAGATCTAATTGGTTGCAGAAAAGAGAGGGAATTAATACACATGAATTTAAGGAGATCCCCTGCCCTGCATCAGACTTTTCTGGAAAAAGGATGAGATTGAACCAGAACTGCTTGAAAGCCTGTAAGGGGGAAGAACAAGGTAACATTAGGAATGCAAAACATTCTGGATTTGAATTTCTCACACATGGTTACACAGAAGGAGTTTGAAATGGAGAACTATACAGCATAGTTGTATTTTTAGAGCTGTAATTTCTCCTGTGTTCCTTGTCAAGTGCGACTGGAATAATGTGATTACCGTCTTTTACATCATTCTTTTTCCTGCTAAAAACCTTACTATATTTAACAAAATTACTAAAAATTATATTTTTTTTAACAAGCAAAGAAGAGAGAATTGCTGAATTCTGCTCTTTGCCTGCTAGAGAGGAAGTGTCTTTTCAGACAAAACACAAGTGTTTGATCCAGAAATCACATCTACTGAAAGAAGAAACCTGATCTGAAAACAAGATATAATACAACCTATTGTAAGAACTAAACTCAAAACCAGGGCACAACTGTTTCTTCAGTTTGAAAAGAGCCACCGTCTGTTAAACCAGTTAACAAATTCAAAAAAAATAAATGCCTATTATGTCATAAGTCTCTATCTAACAGAGAACAGCTGCACTGCATCAGATAAAAGGTCTGCAGAGTGCATTCTTCCTCCAACAATGGCTAAAAGCGATAGGAAGCTATTCCAGGACTACAGTAAGGTGAAATGAATAGTTTTATGACCCGTGAACCCAGCAAGATCTAGTTTCCTTTGACACTGTCCCTCAGCCTGAGTTTCAGCATCTAATAAATGCCAAGCTCTGATCAAAGTTACCTGACTTTCATCCTACACGAATGCTCTTCCCTCTAGCAAAGCATAATCAGCTCGTGCTACAATTTCTCTCCTCAGCTCATTTCTAGGGTTCTCTCTTCTTTTCCCAGGAACTGAGGCTTTTGAAGCTCTCAAGAACCTCCCATCTTTGAGATCAAGGTCCTCTAAAACTGCTTGAGCTCAGCAGCCAGAAAGTCAGCTGCTGAGGGACGACAGAGCACAGCTGCCTGTGCCAGGAGACTTATAAGAAAAAACTGGAAACATACTTCTGTGTATTTCAGTGCATACAAGTGAAGGCATCTATATATCTTTACAAACAGCATTTATTCTACTGAAGTAAAAAAAACACACCACAAAAAAAAAATAAAAATCAAGCTGAGTATCTGAAATACAAAAAAAAAAAATAAATCAACTCTTGATGGGACAAATACCTAGCTCAGTAGGTAACTCCCTTTTAAATTCTTTCCCTTCACATTTCTTTTTGAAAAATGAAGCTACATATATCCTGTACTACTCACATTATCCCATAAAATTAAGCACTAAGCGTACCTGTAAAACATGTTTGACCTGTTTCTGTAAGTTTTCATTTAAAGGGGAGTCAAATTATTAGAAAAAAATAGGTATTCGGTGAACAAACATGCAATTTCAATGTAATTACTGCAAGATCTTTTTCCACACAGCTCCTGATAAAAGAAACTGAGGACCAAGAGCAGAGAACTGTATCAGTAGAAATTTTCAATATTCACATGTCAGAGAGAACAGTCAATCCTCTCATGTTACTCTGAAGCTCTTCAAGTCACTACAAAGAGAAAGGCAACAGTCTGGGATTTAGAAGAGATGGTTGAAGTGGGAACGACTGCTCCACATCCTGTAACATCTACTCCAACACAGCACAGAAACACATACCAGAAGCCCTCCATCTCAAAGGAAAGTTCTCTATCTGCCAGAATGCAAAAGAGAAGGAAGCAGCTTTAAAAAGACATGCAAGACTTTGTTAAAGAGGAAGAAAAGTTTTCCTTACTATCAAGCTCTGTAACTCCAGTAATCAAAAATTACTTCTGGGGATATGAAGTCTACAGCTGCTTTTGGGTTGTTTTGTTTGTTTGGTGGTGGTGATTTTGGTGGGGCTTTTTCCCCCAAAAGATTAAAAAGGGTAAATACAAGATATAAGGAGAGGAGAGAAAACAAAGGAACATGGATTTCATAGAAATGCCTCCTTATGTTGGGTTAATACATTTGGGTTTTTTTACTTGCATTGCTACTTTTAAGCTTATTGCTTATATTGCTTTCACACAACTCTTACTATGTGAGACAGAGGGAGCAAAACAGTTGTGGCACAGTTTCCTAGTTCCTAGTTTGTTCTTTTCAGTCACACTAACCACGTTAGAGAAGTGTAGAAATTTTCTTTACAAAGCATTTTTGTGAAAGTCATTAATTAATTTCCTGGAAGTCTCATATCAAATTTCTTCTATGTATGGCTACGCTTAGGAAGTGAAGCCATCCAAGCCTCCCCTTCCAACAGGGAAACTGGCTGACACATCACTGCCACAATTCACCAGTTCAAAACTCCTAGAGTTCAATAACACTTTTGTCTCTACTTATTATTTTAATGTGTCATTAAGCTGGAGCATAATTTTGATACTTTCTGCTTTTCACATTATTACCTAGTTATCCAAGTGACCAAAGGGATGGAAATAACAGACAAATTCTGCACATGAGCAGAAAACAAGTGTACCAGACCTGTCAGATCTGCAAATGAAACTCTAGATGCTACGAGAGCAAACATTTGGATTTTAAGTAGTTATGCAAAAATATCTGTTTATGTTCAGTACTGCTTTCCTGTGGAATGGAAATGCTTTTTACAGATCAATGAAATTCCAACATCTTGGCAGGGCTAGTTTATCCATCATAAAGAAAACTTAACTAACAAGCCTAGAAAATTACTTCTCCATGACTTTTCAGAACAACTACTCAACAGCATCTTCTCATGCTAGCAGATGGATGTGACCAGACCCCTGTTACTTGCACCGTCTGTGTTTTGAAACTGGCCTGTTTGTAGCCTGTTACATTTGAATAACTTCCAAAATGCTACAAACCTGCTGGGCTAAGGACATACAAAATCAACCCAGAGGAAATGCATTTTGGAATGGAATACGCTTCCAGATCAAGCAGTCTCTGTGTTCTGGCACTCCTGGACACCCTGGCACCCAGCACTGAGGAAACCAGCACCACTAAATGGACTACTAACTCCTTCAAAGTACTACTGACACCTAAGTTTTTTCTCCCTCAGAGCTACAAGTCCCCAACATGCTGCACACTGCTGTAAGTCAAACATGAAGGACAGCTGTTTTACTCATTTCAGCAAAAACAGGGGCGGGGGGAAAGCTGACATATAGGAATGTTATACATACCTGTCTAAATTTAGCTCTAGCCTCCTTTTCCTTCATTCTTCCATGTGCAACCAGATAGTCAAACACTTCCCCTACAATTCAATAATGAGATACATTAATGCCAATTTCAGAATGCAGAAATTCCTCTCCAGCAGTTCCCCACAGCAGCTTCACTGGAACGATTATACTTCAAGTTTATGATTACAGGATAGCTTAAGAGAACAAGGCACAACTGCTGTGCAATTTACTACACCATCATCTCTTTTACAAGAAAGTAATGAGTGACTGGATATAGACAAAGGAAACCATTTCCTTCCAATTACTTAGGACAGAAACTGAGCAGCATACTTCTGTTTTGTAAACAAAGATGACATGTACTCCTTCACAGACTTTCTCACAAGGGTTTCTTTTGACCCACGGGAAAAAAAAAGCTTCAAATATTAGAACATCTGACGATATTTGTAAATACCATCATACCAACACTAGAATTTTAATTTGTGCTTACATATAAAATTGTTCTAAAAAAAATCAGAAATCTCAGCTTTAACCTAGGCTTGGAAGAGATACTCACAAGGAAGGTCACAATAATGAGCATACCAGGACACACTGACATAATCCATCACACAACCATCAGACCTGTAAAATACACTGAGAAGGACTACTCTGGAACAAACCCACTGTTGTATGGCTGTGGATAACTAAAGTTTACTAAAGATCTGCTGTGTTTTGGTTTTTTTCCCCCCTTTAATCCATGCAGTCATTTTTCAGCACACCAATATAGACTACAGTGTTTGAGCTTTAGCTGAGGACAACTGGCCCATGAAGTACTGACTCTTTGTGAAAGCATGGGAGATTTTCATCACCAAAAGCCAACGCTCTTGTACATAAGATCTACAAACACAGACTAATAGGCAGTTTTAAAAATTCCTCACTAATATGCAAAAATCGTAAGAATTTTAGAAGTGGATCAAATATTTAAATATTCTCTACTAAGCAAGAAAACATTATTTTGTAGACAGCCACCTCACACGGGAAGAGATGAGTAACTTCACATTTATTTTTTACAAGAAGCAACTCCACCAAATTGCAATAAAAAAAACTGCAGTCATGCAGAAAGAAAAGCAACAACTGAGCCATCTGAGGGAATGTCAGGATTTCCTACAAAATAGCCTTACTTCCCTGTGGTGTTTATTTAATACTCAACTCAGATAACTCTCAGTTGTATATCACAGCTGTTTCTTAAAAAACCTTGAAGCAGCAAACCTGAACACTTCTTCATAATTCAGGGAAAAACACAGCAGAGAAAGAATTATCCCCAATTTATGTGAAGTGTTGCAGCTGTAGCAATAGTTTCTCTCATCCTGCAGGCAGAGTTCATGTGCATCATGATGACCTGTACCTTGATAAAGAGAAAATATGGGGAACTGAAGCCTGCCATTGAGATTACCAGCCATTTCTGTCTTGCACAGCCTGGTACATCAAAAGGTACTGCTCTTGGCCTTTTAGACCAGCACAGTATGTATCTCTCCCTTATCATCCCAAGAAAGATCTTCACTGCTTTAGAGAACCACTGGCCTTTCTACCTCCTAGAAGATAATCACTAGATGGCAATAGGACTTCACTTCTAAGTCTAGAACCACCAAACAGCACAGAGATGCTTCCCCAAACACCTGTACTAGACAATATTTTAATGGTATTATACCCACTCTGCTCCTGTTTAGGCTAATCTTGGCTGACCAGTTAGGGAACTACCAGAAGAAAACATAGGCAGGTAGAGAATCTGGTTTTATTTGTAGTAATTCATTAAACTTCATGTAATCCAATGTCAGAATCTGAATTCAATGCTGATTTTCCCTGAAAACAACTGACGTCCGAAAAAAAAAGACTCCCATTAAATTTGAGTTGTGAAAAAAAAAGAAATTGTTACTAAGTAGTAATAAGTTTAGAAGTTGGTTTTATAAGTTATATTTATATTGACCAAAGAAGTCCCAAAGAATATTAAATATTTTCCTTAATATCTTACACTGCTTTGATAAGATATGCTGAAAAAGCAAGCAAAACTTTAAAGAAAACAAGTACTTCCCTTACTTGGCAATTTGCTTACATGTGTCACCACAGCAGAGGTACTTACCCCCACTTGCATATTCCATTATTAAATAGAGAGTTTTTTCAGTTTCAATGACTTCAAATAGCTTCACTAGAAAAGAAAGACATTTATTTACCAGTTAACTAGCTGCATAAATATTATGTTAGCCCCACAGATAATTCTGTCACAGAAAAATACCCCAAACTATTTGCTTGCTACTGGACAATATTAGACTCTTTAAAGAAGCTATTTCTGTCAAACATTCCTAGACAGAAAGTACTATAAAACATTTTGTCAACTCATACAGAACAACATATTCTCAAGAAACAATACTTTGCTTCTGCTACATGGGAAAGCAACTAAAGTAAGCAGAACTTCCACATATTTGAGCATCAACAATAGCCACTTCTATGCACTGAACTGGCATACATGGTGACAAATCAGTTATCAGTCAGTTTGCTGACAGTCCTATAACAACACTACATCATTTAAATGTACAATCTCGAGCAAATTCTTGACCACTTCTTGATTTTGGTGTATGTACTTATTTTTAATGAGAGCCTGAATTCAGTAGAAGTCAGTATTATACTCAAAAGGAGCAAAATTATCAGTTAGCTATGCAACAGTTTTGTGCAAAGGGACCAAAATGTTTGTTGGGGTTTTTTTTGTAAACACACAGTTCTGGAACAGTATTTATTACTGCTATTTTACAGATACCCTAACGCAAAATAATCTTTTAAACTCATACCACAACGATTTTAACAATGAAAAAGCAAAAATTTCTCCAATTGGAAATTACGTGAAAGAAACAAGGTACCTATATTTGGATGATTTAAGATCTTCATTATTCTTACTTCTCTAAAGAGCTGAAATAAACATAAAACATGAAGTAAGTTAGTGAAATCGGTAACAAACAGCCATTTTTCCTGAAGACTGATGATTTTGATACAGTTATTTAAACACAAAGGGCAAACGTTATTAGCATTTCAATGAAGTCCATGAAAGAAGCTCTTACTGGAGGGAAGAGTTAAGTGTATGCTTCTTTTAACACCCCTCCTAAACAAATCAGCCCTCAAAAACTTGAAAATACCCACAAAGGGGTCCAGACAGCTCAGGAAAGAAGTGACCTTAGCTCTGTGGTTTGTGGACTTTTGGGGCCACAAGACCATTGTGAGCCCATGCAGTTGAGTTGCTTGCTGACCAGTACATCTCACAGATCCTTCACTTGGAAACAGGTTCCAAAGTTTTGTGAACTCCCACCTGAACATCTTTACAAGACCACTGCAGTACACTACTAGTATAAATTCAGCATTCTTCAATACTTCATTAAAGCCAAAGAACTGCTGTGCTGCCACAGCAGCTCACCGGTGCAACACCAGCTGCTTATATCACACAAAAAGTGTGTTATCTGAGTACACCAGCAAGGAGCAAGTTTTAAGGAGAGATGGGAAGACAAGGCCACCCCTCAGCCCTTCAGAAGCATTCCTGCAAGGCGACTGAGGGCCAGCAGCATCTAGTCCTGGGTCTGCCAGCACAGCTCCTCTGACTCACTGCCAGACATCCAGTCTCCGAGCCCGCCTGGCCAGTGCAACGCGATGAACGTACTTGCCAAAATTAATAGGGCAGAACACAAACGGTGTTTTCCTGACCCCATCGTGCTTCTTCCCTTTATGCAAGCACTGGTGTTAACCCAGACTGACTCACAAGGTCTAGGAATTAATTTAACAGAAAAATCTCATAAGACACACAACTCCCCCACATAAAAGCACTCTCTAGCCCACCCCAGCATATCTATTTTGGCAGGATGGGTGGTGAGGGACAGCTGCCCATTTCAAGCTGCAGCATGACATTACACCCACTGTCCTGAATCCAGAGACAGCACACTGATTGTAAGGATCTTGTCATGTCCTATGCCCTGTCTCTGTCCCTCCCCACCATGCCAATGGCCATGTTTAGAGGGTTTTGCTTGAGTAATTAATTATTTCTGAAGATTTCAACTTTGCCTGTCACAGAGTAAACTCTGTCCTCCTGCAACTGAATGATAATAGGGGAATGAGACTTAAAACTACAAATGAAGGCAAAGTCTATTACTGATCAGTTGTTAATTATTTGCACCTCTTAAAACTCTTCTGCAAAAGACTATTTTAAGATACACATAAACTTGCAACTGTAATACTAAAAATGCTGCAGGTGTTGTTATTGCAATGTAAAGCATGGTTTTTACTGAAGCTAGTTAATAGCAGATGAATTAAAAGTAGTTCCAAGATAAAATATTATTACAAAAAACTTGAAGCACAAATACTACAGTATTCAGAAAGCCAAAGAATTCTCTTTTTATGCAGCACACTATATGGCAGTCGAGTGTGTAGCTGTTCTCCCTCTACAGCTCCCTCCATGCCAGCCCAAGGCTCCAGAGGGTTGATGTTCTTAAGCATCAGTTATTTTCTAACAGCATGCTTCAAAAAGTAGGAGTAATCAAGAGGTTTTACAAGAAATCCAACACTAATTTCTACAGGAATACTAGTAAGCTAAAAGATCATTTTGAACTTAATGTAAAGAGACTGAAGCAGAACATAAGTCCACACCTCCAGTGGAATGCAGACGTGGGAAAAAACCCAGGAGTTTTGTAAATAAAGGATAGTGGCATTGTCATTAACAGTAAGGAAGAAAAAGTGCTGCTGCAAGATATGCCTCAGGTCAGATTTCAGATAAAGTGAAGACATTTAATATGTCTACATGGATTACCAGCGACTCAAATCTGTAGGTGTATTTACTCAATAAAAGCAAAATAAAAAAAGAAGTAAAACATTGGAAACAAACAAAAACCAACCCAAGAGTGAACAAAACAAAATCCTTGTGCCTTTGGGACTTTTATCAAAAGAAAATGCAAGGTTTTAAATAAATCAAGCTGCTTAAATGCAACCGAGGTTGACTGATCAAGTAAATTATTGGCCATACAAAATAGTTTCAAAACCTACACATGCATGTTTTCTTTATCCTCCAGAGAGGTAAAATTGCCTTCTTTTCTTTTTTTGAACTATGTTATTTCTGGGGTTTTTTCATATGTAATCAAAGAAGGCAGACTACATCATCTTTCTACTGATCATCAGAAACTTAAAAGCAGTTTAATCTATAGCTATTTTTTTCTTGTTTTTCATTCAGTTCAGCTGAACTGGTGTATAATGTATTCTGAATTCTCCATTAACACTTTTAATCACAGCTTACATAACTGAAAGCCTGTGATGAGTTTTTGCAGTTTTGAAGACACTTTGTTTAATTCATTCTAAATTGATATCTGATACCTCCCACCCCCAATACTCAAGATAAAGGCTATGGATCAGACTCATCAAAACACTGGTCCACAAGACAACTACTCTGCATTACTAACCGAAATGCAGCATGTTAAAAACCACATTCTACATTATGAGCCATTTGTTGAAGTGGGTGACTAGAAATAAGCTCTCTTAATAAAAGACTATTTTTGTCTCAGAGGAAATTAAAAATAAAAATACTTCAGAATAGGATACAACCGCCACCGTATTCTTTTATTATAATTTTAGTCAGATAAATGCACTTCAGATTGCGCACTGTTTGTCAGTTTAACTGTTATATGTAGCATTTTGACACAGATAGCAACTTCCACAGGGACATCTGCAAATGCCTGACATTCTGTTATGTAGTATAGTCTACTTCTGATAGAGGAATATGATGTAAAACATCATACAACTTTCACACAGTGTGCTGAATAGAGATTTCATAGATTTCACTCCCCCCAAATACTATATGAATCAACTTATAGCAAATGAAGTAGTAACTATCACCACACAGTAAAATCCACTGCAGAAGCCAGGTATGATAAAACCTCACATCTCTGGGGTTCCCTGCCACAGGAACACAGAACAAGGTATAATATCAGAAGATGTAACATGAAGGTTCTCAATACAGAAAATTATTTTCTTAGTTTTAAGAACTTACTTGTCCTAATGAGACTATAAAGGCAGACAAAAACCAGAAACCAGTTCTCATCAGTTTAATTTCTAATACAGAGATTAAAAACTACTCCCAGCTTGCTGAACAGCTCATTTTCCGTCAACAGGAGCTCTACAAATGTTTCCAGGCAAAGACAAACATCCTTGTCTGCCAAACAAATGGCTTTCAGCTTTGTTGTGGTCCGGTCCTTTGACTGTAAGCCATGTCAGATACAGGGAAAGAATCGCATTTAATTAATGCTGCTGCCAACAAACTGAATAAAAAAAGCCCAACAAGCCAGCAATGGAAGCTGGTTCTCTTAGGCCAACTTTCTTTGAACACAGCAAAAGACAGATCAGAAGTGTTCCTGCAACAGCTACTGCAAGGCTTTCAGTAGCAAAATATTTTAAAAATGTGAAAAAAGTTTACTAAAAAGCAATTCAGTACAGTTGTCAGCTGCAGAGCACCAAACTCCCCTGGCTGCCTTCTCCCCAGAGGAAAGGCTTTTCACAAGATGTTGTCCCAAGCTAGCCCAAGTTTGGTCTGTGTATTAGGCTCCTCCTGGTAACTGCTTCACTGAAATATGCCCTACATGTAATGAAAAGCCTCAAGCAAAAAGCCTTTAGACAATACAAAACCACAAAATTTACAAAATCAGTTTGCCCCAAACTAACCATAACTTGAAAACAGAAAAGGATACTCATTGAAAACAGAAAAGGATACTCGTTATAAACAGAAAAGCCTGAGCACTTTAAATTCTCATCCTTTTCTTGCAGTTTTTAAAACACTGATTGACCGAGAGTCAGAAAGGCCACGTTAAAATTGACGTATAAGAACTCTAAAATGCTTCAACAAAAAATATGGCCCAAACAAGTGGCAAAACATCTGCACATAATGAACAAAAATATTTGGCTGAGGAGCCAAGTTCTAAAAAAGGAACATGGGAAGTGATTTAGTGCTACTATACGGGCTTGGTAAAAAAACCCCTTGCATATAATGGCATTGCTAATTCAAAAGAGAAAAAAACAAACAATTTTTTTGGCTAGGAGGAAGTGAACTACTGTATCATCAGCATTTGTTTCCAGTGAGACCGATATTCACTGCAACTGGGTACACAAGTGCATTTGTGGAGAACAGTGGTTATGACTAACACCCCCAGCATGGGAAAAAAGCTCTAAGAATTCCCTTTTCTTTCAAAGCAGGGAAGTACCAGTTACAGTTTCCTCTTCACTAAGCAAGAGTAGCAGAGCAGCAATTAGGTCCTAAAACAACAGTAAAGAGTGGCTGCATGTGGCTGCCACAGACTTCCTCAGCAGCAGACAGAAACCCGACCCTTCTGAAGAGCTGCTACTGAGTATCGAGCTGTCAGGGCTGCAGCGAGGGCATACCAGGAATTACTGCTCCGGAAAGCAAAGCAAGTCCTTAACAAGGTTAACTTCTTCCTGGCAGCTGAAGTATCGATGTGGAAGATGTAACACAAAGCAATCAGAACTGGCAGCCTTAATCACCATTTGTCTCCCCACCTAAGGATGACTCGGGTATGCAGCTACACCGCAGCTGAGACACTGCACACCACACCCTCCTGTCGGCACAGCCCTTCCCTCCCCACCATACCTCAAATATTTTATCGCTCCCTCCAGAAGTGCAAGGTCAGAAGCACTTCCCTCTCAGCCTCCCCTGCATCTACAGGTCGCGTGTGCAGTTGGCTCCAAACGCGCCCAGGCTGTGGCACTGAACTGAGAACTCTGACATATCGTAGGTTTTTTCTGTGCTCGTGTAATAAATGAACTTAGAGAGAACATGTTACGTATCTCACTCCACAGATCTGACCTGACTTCTACCCTGCTATTTTGTACTATTCTTCCAGACTCCCAGTTAAGAAACCCAGTGGTTGACAAGATCAAATTACAAATCACATTTTATAATCTTAATTTTATAAGTTGTAAGTAAAAATTAAATTACAACATTAGAGAGACATGAGTGGATAGAGCTAGCTGAAACCCAGGAATCAAAGGACCATCATGCACACTTCCAGCCTGTAGCTTTACCAGCTGAACACCTCTGATTTGTAAAAAGGTTTGCATTGTACCCTGATATGAGATCAAACTCACGTTACAACCCAATCTCAAATAACGGCATTTGAACAATTATGATTTTACATCTTTGCCTGTAAACAAGGCCTCTCTACTTCTCTCTGACCCTTTTTCCCGCGTGCTGACGCCTCCCCTTGGTATCACACAGCTTTTTTTTATCTTTCAAGTGCTTCAAGCATTTAACAACTTTTTCAGCTATTCCAAGTTGCGCAGATCCGACACACAAATCAACTTTATCTAATCCATCATATTACCTAATTTGCATTTTATTTCCACCCTGCTTACCCAGAAACCACCAACAACCTCAGGTATTAAACTGAGAAAAATTCTAAGAAAACTGGAACCACATTATCCACTTTTATTCAGCCTACAGAGTCAGTAGGAAGTTGCTACCTGCTTGGAACACGGACCCTTTCTTCTATAGGTTATTGTTTGCCTCTCAACTAAACCATAAAAGAACTTGTTTGTTTTTCCAATTTACTTCTGCACCATTAATCTTGATAAAAATATCTAGTCACCTGATCTTTTTAGTAATTGCATAAAATACAAATGGGTATATTCTCCAATTTACTCTAGTTACACTACTTCAATTATGGGTATTCTCTTGTTCAAACAGAAATATTGCAAGGAGTTTTTTTATCAAACTACTCAAAAGTAAACAAAAAGCCTTTGACTGCAGTACTTAAAAGGACAAAGTTAGAAAAGTCCCACGTAAAAGTAACATTTAAATCTACTTCCTGCACACACTCCAAACCAGACTGGCTTGCTTGATGAAAGAGCAGGGTTTATCGCTCTGTACTAAAACAGATAAGGCAACACAACTGTAACAGCACATTAAACATTCAAAGCTGGAGGGAAGAAACCAAATAGTCATGCCCCAATTTGTTTCATAAAACTGCATCACCTCTCCTGCAGCAAATCACGTGAAAAGCACAGACTGAAGCCTGGCCTTCAGTCCACAGGCAGTATTTTCAAGGCCAGCTTAAGAGGACAGAACATAAGCTTTGCCTTTCTAAGTTTAACAAAGTGACCGACATGAAGGAGACATGGGGGCACGACACCAAACCAAAAACGTCCTCTCTACAGAGTCAGCTAAGCTTGGGAGACAAAGGAAGTGGCTAATACCACTGTTTTCTCAGTTTACAGCTCTGTACAAGTTCAGCTTGAACAACTGCAGGGCTGTCAAAAATATCTGTTACAAAACTAGTTATTAAATACAGTAGTTCAGATGTGTGCAAGGTATGCAATGCTTCAGATTCTCCAGTACAGGCATTCAGGGTTAATGGAAGGAGGTGGTGAGGAGAAACAAGTTAAAATACAGTTGAAAGATAAAATGCAAAAACATACCTTTTGTAGACTAGTTGGGTTCAGCTGCGTTTTGTCAATTATTTTTATGGCAACCTAAAAGAAGAGTTTGTTATCAGTATTTTCCATAGGAACAACAACACACTATTACAACATGCTCAAATCCAGTAACAGAAATGTAAAACATGAAAATTACATAGAAAACATTTAAGTTCCTTCGGCAAATTATCTACTTGTATTTAAACTAAAAACAGGAGAGAGGAAAAACCCTGGTATTTTAAGCATATTAAGAAGAGAAGTTCACTGAGTCTTTCATTTGACATTAAGTCCATCACAGTTATGACAGTGGAAGCTCCAACACCAGATAGTGCCCCTATAGAGAGCAGTGTGCCTACAGATAATATTTACACAGTATAATTACACAACAGATTACACAGTAGTGACTGGGCACTGGCAGTTTCCAAAAACAAGAGATTTCTGAGCAAATTTAAAGCAATTCCACACAAATTTGGCAGGAACTAAGCTCATCTTTGGAAATTCACTAAATATTTGTGTCAATTTGCTTCCTGATGGATATGAAAAAAAATAAAAAACCCACTGGCTGTAGTACAACAATTTGGGCAAGTTCTTTCCTTTACTGGTTCTCATCTTTTTCAGTAAATACTGCATAGAAATATTAAAGAACAAAATAAAAATGTCACAAAATAAGCAAAATAGAAATTCAGTACCATGGTAACTAGTCAGAACCTGAAGATTTGAAGTAATGAATAGGCAACAGAAATTTCAGTGCAATGCAATTTGGATACTGGATGAGTTAGAACAGGAAATGGGAATCTTTCTAGAATTACATGCCAATTGGTATTTTTCCTTTCTAAATTAAAGACTACACATTCCAGAAGAAGCTCCACAGAAGCCAAGGAGATGGTGCCTCTCAAAGAAGCAAGATGCTGCAACTCAGCTGATTATAATACCTCACTGGTGCAAAGCAAGGGCTTCCAACTCCCCTTCAATTTTTGGCTCAAACAGTACATGCTGCTCCTTCCCAAGCCACAGCTCCCATTTCCCTGAGTTGCTTCATGCTATCTTTGCTCCTCATTAACTTGGGATCAGCACCATATGGAATAAAGAATATCTTACATCAAAGCAAATCCATATCCCTACATTCAAGTGCAAAAACACAGGGATGGATCATCATGATGGAGAGGGTAAGAGGGGAACAGTGTTCAACTCTTGGGTGCATCATGGAATTATATAATGCATATGATGTTTTCTGAAACTGATATTCAAGACTTATTTTGGGTCCTTCTAGATGTAAGATATGAAGAGACATAGCCAAGTAGCCACCTCAGAATACTTTTACTTTGGGGAGTATTTTCTTCTAAGGCAGGCTACTGATATTAAAGATCACTGTTTCCTGAGGCAAAATTCCATTGCAAACCTTGAGAAATCACTTCAAAAATACAAACACAGGAGAGAAACACATTAAGCAATAGGTATTTTTATATTAGCAGTTGTGTACGAAACCATGAAAGATTTTTATCTCTACTTTTATGCCTGTTGTTAACTTTCTGACAATAGTTCAAAGTTATTAACTTCCTGCAATCTCTTATAAATCCATGCTGGATGTTGAGTGACCCCTACTTTTGTCAACAGCAGATAATGTTATCTGAAAGTGACCTTGTGTCCCAAGACTACCCATGTCACAGAAGATAGCTGTTCACTTGTTAAGTGCATTCCACTCAGAAAAAGTTCATTTGTGTTCTGGGCTGTACCATTCTGGTCAATCTTAAAAGATATAAACTCTGAATTTCAACCCACGAAGTCTTAAGGTAGTGGGTTTCTGCATAACCATCTCACCTCCCTCGCTCTGCACTGGTGCCAGACGATCAGAAGAGGTCTCTGACACTGTCAAACAAATTCAGCCCTGGAGATATAGGGAAGGTACACACCTCAGTTTTCCAAAAGACAGATTCTCAGGCCTGTTCACTGCACTAATTATAGCCTTAAAGGCAGGGTGAGTTTAGAGAATTCCTATCCATATGAACACTAAGAGTACAATGTGTTAACATGGACTCTGAGAGCTTGAATCCATCATCAGAACAGGGAGCAACTTCAGGTGCCTTGATAAGGTCTCCAAACCACAGGCAATGGGAGCGTGCCCTCAAGAATAGCTCTGATGAGCCAGAGGAAGAAAATCCTCCATTGTACTAAGCACAGTTAATAAAACATCAAAGTGCCTTCCAAAGTAGAAACTTTTCTCTCTTTACATGACGTGAATCTGGAACAGTTTCAAATACTGTGTGCTATGGCCAACACTGGAGGAATGCAAGTCCACCTACACTATTACACTGCTGCATTAGCCATGATATTCTGCGTGAAATTGTTAGTAGAATTAAAATTAACTTTGCTTTCACCATTCACAATAACACAACTAAAAAAATTCCTCCTACATGATTTGAATGAGGGAGTTAAAGCAATCAGAAGTTGGGAACACTGAGCAAATTGACTAAGCTGCTACCATTCAGAATGTTTTCCCCCTCTCAAATTTCACTTTTTCCAAGAGAAGAACGGAAAGAAGATGACAATAGATTCCTTGGAGTCAGACTTGGATCCTGAAAGAATTCTGCCTCACTGGGAAACTTCAACTCCCTGGCTATTAACTGAACACATGTCTTTAATGAACAGAAGGATCCATAATAATTTTGGCCACTCAGTAACAGCAAAAGGTAGTTTTATCTTTTAGATTAATTTTGGCAAGTATGGGAAACTTGTCAGAGGAAACACCCTTTGATAAAACTACAACAGAAAATACATGGATTACAGTCAAAGAGTGAACAAAAGCAGATTGACAACGAAGATTCGTGGTTTGGAAAGGGCAGACAGACTACAAATAACACTATCCCAGGCAGAGGATCTCAAAGGAGAGTGTTTCCAAACACCAGTTCTAGTGCAGTGAAGCTCTGTACTGAGCTGAAGGCCACACACTCCTTGCAGGACAATTCAACCCCCTCAAGTTAGGCTGATGTTCTGATCATCCCCTGAAGGGCTCAACATTTCTCCCTTTCTGTAATTTGAGGCTGAGCTCTCATCATGCATCCTGCAGACACACTGAAGATGGAAATGGAAAAGAGTCCTGGAACCTACTCCAGCTGGAAACATGAAATCTGCACCTCAAGCAACAGGAAAATTCACAGGGAAGGACTCCAGATGCAAGGAGATGAGCAACTACCCTAGAAGAATGCTTGAACAAACATCTCCTCCTCCGAGGAGTGACAGAAAAGTGCTGATCTGCTTCAAGACTTGGAAGTTAATCAATGCAAAGATATAAAGAAGGAATTGCCATAAAGTGAAACTGAGTTGGACACTTAAAAGAACATTAAGAACAAAGCCACACAAATAACAAGGAGAAGATAAGTGGGGTTCGAATACAGCAAGGAGACAGCAGAGATGAAAAATCATTAAAGTGTGACTCCCAAAACTAATCACTCTGTAGATTTTGGTACGTAAGATGGAAAAAAGAAAAGGAACAAAGACAGGACAGGTAGCAGGAATGAGTGTGTAAAGCAGGAAATCACAAATTCAGGAAGATGAGTGTCCTCTGGCTAAGGCCACACTGGAATTCTTAAGAGTAGAAAGTCTAAGGAAAAAAAAACAAACCACACATTCTTGCAGCACAGATTTCTACCATCTACCAAGAAAATGGCAGAGCAAGATTTAGAAATGATCAGACAACTTTTTTTTCTCCAATTTCCTGTAAAAATTCTTGAGCTCAAATTTACCAGGAAAAAACCAGGGAAACAGACAGAAGGGTTAAATGCAACATATTTTCCTATAGTTAATTGTGCCCTATGGAAAACCACAAGATATGACTACCTGGACTATTGTAAAGCCTCATCTAGGAGCATGCATGGAAATTTTTGAACTAGATAAGCTGAAAAGGGCACAGAGCTTTTTTTTTCCTAAAAAGATGGCTAAAGAGATATCAGGTTGGAAATAAATGAGTAAGAGTTTTTCAAGGGCAAGACTTGGGACCAATCTTGTTTAATATCTGTATCAGTGGCCTTGGCACAGGATGTCAAACCATAATGATTAAGTCTGCTGAAGGAGTTAAGAGGCACCATCAAATACAATGGAAAACTGATTTAAACAACCTTGGAGATGAGTTAGCAATGAAAGCGAGATTCAACAAAGTACAAGGTGGTGTTAATCACAAGCAAAACCCATCAATTTAACAGCCATAAAAAAGGTTACCACAACCTAAGGATTCATCAGATAAAGACTTCTGTAAGGGCAAGGGTGAAGTAATGACATTGGGGAAATTGCTATCCAGAACATTGTGAACAATTCTGGTCATAGACATCTAAAACATGTATTTATTATCAACACTGTGCAGTTCATCTAGCAAGAAGACAAACTTTACTCATTTCCCCCTTAAGAAAAAAAAAAAGTTTAAAATACCTTGAAGATATTCCTATAAAACTAGCTTAATTGTTCCCTTCTCAGGAATGACACTCATTCTAGGTAACCAGGACCAACGGCCACATCCTGGAAAGTATTTATGCTCTGAATTGACTGAATGACATCAATTCTATGAGAGTTAAAGAAAACTAGTACTCAAATCTTTCCAAATTCAGACAAAAATTTTACACTGTCACATTTATATGCTGAAATTTCAAACAAAAATAATGAACCAGAGTTCATTCAACAGTTACGTGCATATAAAGGAAAATGTACTTCAGTTTTTGCAAAGTGTGTCACATGACACCTTATCTCCAAGTTCTATACCTATAATAATAGCAAAGAAATACTAACCAAGTACTAGGCATGTCCCATTTTAAGTATCAGTAGAAATAGGAGGGAACTTAAAAGGAAAGCAATTAACCAAAAGCTTTCTCTACAAATGAACACTGACTTTAACATCAGAAGACAATTGGAACTGTCAGCTTACAAAAAAAAAATTAAAAAATCCCTCTCAACAGCTCTTTCAAAACCATGTCCCTCTTTTCTTCCTAGTGCTACTGAACTCCATATTAGCTCAGAAGAGAGAAATTCCCTTAAAGCACTGTAGTCAGCCACACAGCTTTCTGTAAAAGTCCTTGCTGGTACCAGTAAACGTTTACTTCATGAGACAGGTTTCGCAAGAAAAGGTCAGCAAGGTGTTTCTCCCTCTTTTAGTACTTAAGAGTTGCTATTAATAAAACAGCACCTAGAAACACCTTCTTGTAACAAGCAAACAGGACTATAGCTCACCAAATCAGAAGCACCATTAAGTGCAAGTGGTTAATTACACTGCAATGACATGCAGAAACTAATTATGGAGCTGAGTTAGACACTATGAGGAGATACCAGAGAAAGCTTGTCTATGCCACACACACTGAGTGAGACACAAACTGTCTCTGAACAAACTGGAGCATCTTCCCAAAGCTGCCCAGCACTACAGACACCAGCAGAACCCTGGGAGGCACATTGCTTTGGCAAGAAAATACTGCATTTGGGCTACTTGCACCGTAATCAGGATGATATTTAGTTCTCATTCCTGACTTCCCCTTCAATATAGCCCTGCACTGTGCAGCACAGAGACACCAAGAGGCAGTCTTTCCAGCAAGCTTTTTTAGTTGCTGTATATTGATCTCTTTTTTGAAAATGGAGGATGTAGCCAAGAATAGTAGTAGCAAACTTTAACACAATTCAGCTGAACAGGGACTTATGAAAAATAGAAATATAAGACACCATTTTCAAGAGAAATGGTTTTGTAATCATTACTAAAAATTACAGTTCTCAATTTCTACTTTTTTTCTATATCAGCAGCACTATCTCTAGTAAAATGTGCTCTATGTTCACAGACTTAATATGATTTTAATTCTCAGAGAACCTGCACACCTACAGCAATTCACTGCTGTTTACACCCGTAACACTTTACCTCTCTGCCAGTTAGGATGTGCCTTGCCAGTTTCACTTTTGCAAAGTTCCCCTTTCCAATGGTTTTAAGGAGTCTGTAATTTCCAATGTGCGGCTGCTCATCCGCGCAGGAGGCTATGGAGTTCCTGCAGCGAGCTCCAGAGCGCCCAGTTCGGGAGGAAACTTCCTGCCGTCCGTCTCCATGGGACGTGTGCTGCAACAAGAACATACGCAGGTAATAAGGCTGAGAAATACAGACAAAAACCACACCAACGATGAGAAGCACACAGCATTCAAAAGCATTAGCAACGCCTTTGGAGGAACCTTCAAATGATCCAGCTCAAACTTCAGATTCACGCTGAACTTTGCTCTGATGGGGGCAATAAAGAGGTTCCTAGCTCATAACACAATATCCATTTCATCACCTGGTAAAGACCAAGTGGAGCATCACCCAAACTGCAGCAGCAGTTGAGCACTTTTAGGAACTTACATGGATGGCCAAATCAGTTATGAAACATGGAGGTGTTTGATATTATTTCCCATTTGCACTACTGTTCTGACTAGTGTAGGAAAGCCTTTGGAGAGGAAAGACGAAAAAAGCTTAACCAAGAAGAGCACAAAATGTTAACCCTTATTGGGTAACTTAATAGTACTGAAAATATAACAAAAGGGGGGTTTTTCCCCTCTTGCACTATTGTTCCTACAAAACCACATGACTGAAAATACCCAGGATAGCCTGTAGAACAAGGAAAGAAATATGACCTAATGTACAGAAATCTCAGACACTGACAGGCTGAGAACCAGTTACAGTGATCTGAGACACTGTCTGCCTTTCATTCAGTTTCCCAGAACAGCTATTAATTGCAGAAATAAATGGGTATATATAATACCTATAATAATCTTTATTCATTAAATCACATGGCTAAAATTAAAGTATTTTTTAATTTCCTGACAGCCTGTTTATGAAAGAGCAGGTCCCCTTATGTTCTTAAATCATGGTTGAGGCCTATACACCAACCTCACTAATTAAAGTATTAGAAATGCTCAGCATCCTGCAAATGTGGAGCAAATACCTGCCTCCACCGCAGATGACGCAATAAATTTACAGTCAACCCAGAAACCCCAGATCTTGCTCTTCTACTACTCCTCCTCTTGCTGAAACCCAATGGGGACAACCAAGGAACTGGCATACAGAAACATTTAGTCTGAAAATCATTGTAGCACGAAGATGAGATCATACCTCAAGAGCTAACAACCATGGTACAGGCACAAATGAACAAATCCATGCTTGCATGACACTTGGCAAGTTCACACTCTATTTAATAACCTGATGTAACCTTGTGACCATATACTCTGGCATCTTAGGTTCCTTGGTTTGTTAACTTGAGTGCAACAGCTGTGATCAAATTACTTTTAAAAACACATTCATTTCATCCAAGAAGTACTACTGATAGAAGTCTACAGCAACTCTTGGAAAACTGTTTAAACAGTTACTGTTTTAAAAAACACACACACTGTGGTGCATATAAAGTTTTAGTATCAATCTGGCTTTAGCTTCCTTACTGCCCTGGCTGCTACATTGCCACCAGATTTGTACTTCCCATATAGGTACTTATTTTCTATGACCACAATACCCCTTCACTTTAATAAGTGATAGGTATATTGAGCTCCCTAAACATGCTGCTGTAAAAATGATTAAAGACAAGGAAATTTTTCCTGTACTTGCATTCAGAACTCTCTGTTTTTCAAATATATTTTTGTGGAGCTTATGCTAGAGATGGACATGCCATACCTACAGTAGGTGCACTAGGACTAAACACAGAGACTGCACTTTTTGTTCAACACTCCACTGATTTTACACGGACAGAACCAACCCTCTTGGCAGAAAACCAGCTATAACTGACCACCCAACACTGACCCTAACTCTTTTTAGGAGTTATTTGCTTCCTATTCCCTTACCACAACATGACTTTCATTCCTGGATCCTTACATGCATGACTGCACATTTACCTGAAGTGAAACACAGAGTTTCCTTTCATGTAGGATATTAGATGTTCCTGATGATTTGCCCATCCTGCTCTATTTCATATTCTAGCAATCTGTATCCTAGTTTTCAGGAGCAAGAGTAAACATTCCTTCTCAACCACTAATAACTGGCACAAGAACAAGAAGCACACCTGTAACAATATCCAGTAAAAATTCCAAGTCTTGATAACAATTCAATGTTCTCAATAATATTTTGAGACCTACAACAATTGGGTGTTTATCAATCAGTAATTCTCAAGGAGAGGAAGAACAAGAGCAGTCACCAGCTGAAGGAACTACTAAAGTCAGTGAAATCCTGTATCAACAATTTCAGTATTTTGCACGTCCTTAATGTCAGGCTGGTGCTGGTTGTTCAGGCCATCTTAGTCACTCCTGTGTGTACTAGCAATGCCATGCCGATCCCCTACACTCCCCTAAACTTTGACTTCTAACAAACCTTGCAACACATATTGCAGAGAACTTCCCTGTCAGCTCCTTTCGTACCTTCTAGTATCAAATTATTCAGACCAGCTAGAAAAAAGCAGCAACTGCTGATGCTAGATGCCAACATCCTCCTGCATTGCTGCCTGTGTTGCTCACGGTCTAGGATGTTCCATATGGGGCCACGAGGGTATTTCTTGGATATATTAGAGGAAGGCTCGTTTCAGTTCAAGTACAGCATCCCAGGAATACAACTGTACTACTTACACTGCACTACACTGAGTTGATAACTCGTCAGAAAAAGGAGTGTATCAGAATTATTCAGACTAAAGCCCTTCCACACCCGGGCACTTGGCACAGGTGCAGGAGCTGACTTCAGCAGGAGCCAGCCTGCCTCCCAGCAGGGCTTGTTAGCTTAGGCTCTCCAGCAGACAGATTCAACAAATAGGTTGCTTTTGAACCACACAACTGACTCTCGAAACAGAGTATCTACATCTGCACTGTCTTGTGCTTGAATAGTCCCGAGCTAGCCCACGAGGCAGTTGAGATGTGGGCATCAGGTAGCACATATTCCCAACCCAGAGAACCTGTGTGCAAGTTATTCAGAACTGATCTTACTCATATCCTACTTAATATAAACAATATCAGGTCAAAGAAAGATTGTTATACTAACAAAGGCTATTCCACATAGTAAACCACCCAGTTAATACATCTTGAGACCTTCACTGTCCTCTGTTGAGAAATGACTTCTTGTGACCTATCATTTTTCTTTTCCATGCTTCCTAGCTTTGCACTCAAAGGGTGGAATTAACAGCTGTGAACTCATTTGGACTAGCTCTGATAAACTGAACACAGTCTCCTTGTATGGAGGTTTGCATTTCCACCCTAACCCAGATTATTTCTTTTCAAGAATATGACCTTTTTGAGCTGTGGTTTTTGAGTATCAAGCTGTGCGTTCCCAAGCAGTTCAGTTCTCTCCAACTGACTTGTTCATAGCTGTGTTTCACCCTGTAGAAATCCAGCCATTTGCAACCGTATCTAATTTGGACTTTATTTCACTTCACATGAATAAATCTATCAGCAAGTCCTCCTTCTTTCAGATATATTACTATATTGAACAGAACCCAAGCTTTCTAAAAACCACAGAAAACAGATTCTCCATTTCAACATGGCTTTTCTTTTGCATATGGAAATGAAGGAAGAACATAAACTCAAAACTGAATGTGTGTGTTTCTCCCAACGAAATAATTTTCAAGAAGCTGTGACAGGTAGATGGGAAGCTAAATGGTGTAGGCACAAAGCAAAATACAGGTGGGTCCAGGAAAACTTCAAATCACACATTGGCTTGTTTAGCATGTGGCTGTACTCGGGTACTTCCCCAGGTGGTTTCCTCAGCAAACAGATTAACAGCGGCACTCTCGGCCTGGAGAAATAGTAACAGCATCCTCTGCTCTCCAAGTTGAGATGCAGGTCATTTGTCTTTTCCCAGGTAGACTCTCAGCTCTGCTGATTTTGCCTCCCTCACCACACTGACTCCCAAAAACTCTGTTCAATTTCGGCTTCTTTCCCAAGTTCACATTTATATGGCTTCAAGAAGACGTGGGGTTTGTCTTAAAAACATAACATTTAAAACAAGCATGTGTTTATTTGTAATAAGTTTCCATAGATTGTGGTAGGTGAGCTGTATCTCCCGGAGGTGTGTTCTGCATAAGAATAACACTCGCTGATGACACCACAGCTGAGTGATTCCCAAAATATCTGTCTTTACATAAAGCAAGACCATTATGCTGTAGATGGAGGACTAAATCAAGGAGACTGGGTACTTTGTGCAACTTCAGGCTACCCAGTCACCGCCTCTTTTAAGAGAAAAGTCCCCTGAAATCCACTTACGACAAGACCGCACTTTCTTCCTCATCTTGGAGTGCATCAGGTTTCATTTCAAGGTCTTTGAAATACTTTAAAGGTTTGTGTTTTTTTTTCTTGCACTATCCATTTTCAAGCCAACACGACAACCTTTCTCATAAAAACAAAACATTCTCCTCCCCGCCTCCCAACTCCACCCTGTTATTACTCAAGCCAGAAGGAAACGGGAGTAAAACATCTGCATTTGTGGGAGCCCTTACTGCAAGGGAGGGACTGAACCTAAGACCAACTACATTTGGAACACAACACAGAACCCACCTTTTCGCAAAAGCCTTCCCCCAATGATGAGCCGACATCCTTTCATAGCCAGAAAATGATTAGCATGAAGAGAAAGAAAAAGAAAAGGAAAAAAAGTAAAAAAGCAAATGACGTATGAAGGTGTCGACAACTGAAATCTTTTCGGTAGATGTTAAGTTTATCCAGTATCTGCATGATTTCAGGTATCTTAATGTTCAGAGCACTAGAAACACACAGGGCAGAGGATGACTAGTATCAAAGTTCTTGAACTGCGTAAGAAGATGCCAACAGTTGAGAAAAACCTGAAAGAGACAGAATCTGATATCCATTTGAAGAGCTGAAAAACAGTAAGAAATCAGAGTATCCAAGACCTGCAAAAATCCATGTTTATTTACAGAAAGTAGGGAACACTTTCTAAAACAGGGGAGACAAATGGCATCAACTATTTTTTTTAAAGCATTTTTAATACGATAGTGGAAATTTACCTTCTCATCAGCCAAAATGAACTAATAAAATTTAGTCTTAAAAAAATCTCTAGGAATGCTTATTACCTTAGCTGTTACCTCACCTCTGTATGAAATACTACAA